TAGTAGAGACGGGGTTTCACCATGTTGACCAGGATGGTCTTGATCTCTTGACCTCGTGATCCACCCGCCTCGGCCTCCCAAAGTGCTGGGATTACAGGCTTGAGCCACCGCGCCCGGCCAATTTTTTTACCCAATCTTAGGTAAATCTGGATTGGCTGCTCAACTGTGTAAATCAAAAAGCCATCCTTGAAAACTGTGTTCAGGAAATAGGCCTTAAGAACCGAGTCAGCATAATTCCATAACTAACACGTCTTAGATTGTTTGAGGCAAATAGGTGTATCTCTTGAATCACTAATGGATTCAATACCAGGATCTATAATTTTCATATTTACAATGTATTCTGCTTAGGATATTTTATTGGCAAAGCAAAAACCCATCAGTTTGACACACAGAAAAAAGAAAACAAATGCTCACAGACCTATCTTCATAGGATTCTGTGCTGTAGGATTGCTCCAGGTTCCAGTCTTAGACCACTCTTCCAAGCCTGCTACTGAATATAATACTGTTAACATTGGAGCCGAGCTAAAACCACATGACTTTTTTCCTAGGGACAGAAAACAAGGGATATGGTTGAACTCATGCACTTGCAGCAAACTTTAGTGTCAGATTTAAAATGAGGGCTTTCTCTTAAGAGAAAAGGCTTCTTTATGAGAAATACAAAGTGTTTGGTAGATGAGAGCGAAAACAGAGTTAAAACAGGACTTTCAACTTAATCCAGACTTCCTAATAGTGTTTACATGAGAGCGAGACTCCTTAAGTAATATGCGTTTTTTATTTTTACCATAATTGGAGACAAAAAAACAAAAACATAAACATTTGAAGTGAAATTATAAAGCTGCCTTGATTTCTACATGGATCCTCTGATCCCAGCTTGCTCAATGAGGAAAATGTTCTTTTTAAAAGTGCCCCTGATAGACATTTACTCTCTGACATCAGCACTGCCCGTAGAGCATACACAGATCTAAATGGATTTCCACTAAGAAAGTCTGTTTAAGAAGCTCATCATGTTTAGCCTGTCCCAGAATTAACTGTTCTCAGGGAATGACATGAGAGCAAAGAAAAGAAGCTCTCAGTGAGGGAAGAGACAGCACCTCCCAGATGCTGGGAAGTGACACATTTTGTCCTTCCTTTGTCCCGACAAATAGTTATTGAGCTCACTGTGTATGAGGCTTGGTGCCAACACAAGTTCAAGGACAAACGTTCAGTTTCCAGATGAAGCATGACTCTTAATTTTCCAAAGTTTTACATTTTACTTTTATTTAAGGAGTGGGTTTTCTATTGGATCTGCCCTTTCGGTCTTCTCTTCCTTGGGTTGAAAAAGACATTTTTTACCTTTTTCCGTGAAGCTGATTTGTCAGGCTTCAAAATGCCTTAGGTGGTTTGTATCCTTTCTTACAGGTAGAATAGAGACACCGAGACATTACATGCTATATATTTACATTTTGTTTTGTTTAGTCTTATTGAGCGTGTTTGCTTTTTTGCTCTGGAAAAATTATTAATAATAATTTCAAAGGTGTCAAAATAATAAAAGCCATTCTACTCTCTAATTTCTTAGATTCCACAGTTAAATGCTAAGAGGGGTTCAGACTAGAAAGTCATAAAGGTCAAGTCAACATAACTATCACAGCAGACCAAGGAACAAGGGCTATAGAAAGACAAGAAACCGTGATTCTGGTGGCCCTATTAAGAACCATAGCCTCTATGGGGGAAAAAAAAATTCAGCCACCAAGAGGTAGCCTGGGCATATTTTTTGAAACAATGAAATTACCTAGCGCTATATGTAAGCTAACATACAAATGCCCTTTTTAAAACCTACATCAATCTTAATTTGTAATGTATTTGGTATGGATTTTTTTTTTTAGAACAAGAATTTAAAAGATAAATTCTCCATTGGGAAAAAACCATGGTTCGTTTGGAGTTATTATGATTTGCATGTATTAAAAGTATAGTACTATGAGGCAATTCTCAAAAAGTACACTTGTAGTCCTAAGGAAACTGAACCAAACTTGATTTGAGAAATTTTTAGATCTGGCTCTCATTTCATATACATATATACATACATGTACATATATACATATTCATATATGTATTCCTATATACATATTTATATATGTATTCATCTACGCATACATATATGTATGCGTATATGTGCATATACATGCTCTCAGATGCATGTATATATACATACATATTCATATATGTGTATACATATATACATATGAAATGAGTTTTTGAATGTTGGCAGCATTTTTTCATAACTGCAACCTACACAACCACTGGAAGTGGGGGTCCACCTAAGTTTTGTTTGCCATTTGCTTTAATTTTCCCTGCAACTTTTTGGATAAGAATTATGATCTCAAAATGTCATCATTTATTACATTAAAAGTAATTTGACCTTGGAATTCCTTTCCAGATGGAAGGAGAATGAAGACATCTGTAGCATACAATTCTGTTTTTTACTTCTTGACTACATAACCTAGCAGTGGTCTAATACTGACCATTTCCATTGAAATGCCGGAAAAGTACTGACCAAGACCTTCTGTGAAAAAGATAATGGAAAACAGAAACCAGTTAGTAAAGCCATGCAGATAGGAAGTGATTTTCAGCCCCAAGAGGACTTGGTATCATCTATGGCTCCATTTAAACTTAAGTAGCATCTGCCCTGGTGGATTTTGACCATCCTTTTGATTTAACACAGAAGAAGGTTTGTTCTACCTTTAAAAGCACATCCTCTTTTTTTCCCCCCGGACTCCTCAACAAGTGGCTTCTAACACAAGACTGGGGTTGTTTTCTTACTGAAAATCCTGTGTTTATCCAGTCTTTTCAATCTCTGAGTTTAACTAACCTAACAACAAAACAGAATCCTCACATTTCTCACCGAGCAATGAAAAGCAAAACAGTTGGTTTCTCTGATCAACATCATTTTCTGTATGAAAATAAAAAGTTATGACTCCTAGACCTTCGAAATATCTACAAATTGTAATTTAAACGACGAGATTTTTCAGTGTGTTTCTAAAACAAGGTAAAGGGATCAGAAAATGTGGTTCAAGTCAAGTGTGCAAAGCTTTCAGAGAAAGGTCTCCCAGCCTGGACAGGAGCACAAATATTTTCTTACACAAGTTAAATCTACTCTTTGCCTCCACAACACTTTTGAAATAAAACAGCAAACGTACTTATAAGTCAAAAGGCCTCGTCTCCTTATTAGGCCCTTTACACACAGACGATATAAGCTAGGTTTTCCTACAGTAAATGTGACCCTACCACATATTCGAGATATAATCATCCTACCATCAGTTAGGTTATGTTTTAAATATTTTGAAATCAGGTGTCCTCACTACTGATTTCCTTTTAGAAACTATCTCGAGTGTTAGATTTTCATAAATTACACCATTTTAAACTTTTAGCTTTTTAAAACTTCTATACAAACTCTATGTCTACGGGGAAAAAAAAAAAAAAAAACCTCAAAAAAAGTAGTATCAGAGTTTAATTTCAACCACCTGGCATAACAATGAAAAGTGTCAGACTTTCTGAAAATACTCTAGGAATAATGAATAGATTCATGTTTTTCCCTCCACCGCCCTTTTTTATTTTCCGAGATAAGGACTTACTATGGAATAGGTTTTTGAAAATAATGTTTCCTTTTTGACAAATGGCCTACATTCAGAAATGTCTTAGAACAAGCATTTAAAAAAAACTAATAAATAACCATAAATCAAAATACATTAAAATAAAATTACAGTACATTATCCCTCCTATAAAATTCACCGTGCTAGAAGATCCTTTCAAAGGTTCATAAATAAAGTCTTCTTGACTTGAAATCGTTTCCTGCATCGTAGAAAACTAAGAAGAATCGCAAGTTTTCAGTAGGGTAATGTCCAAACTACTTGATCTGGTGCGGGGCGGGGAGACCGTTTTGCTTTCGATCCAAGTGAAGACAATAGAAATGTGTTCGTCCCACTTCCTCAAGTCCTCAAAACCTGGAAAGAAATGACACCGAGTCAAGTAGGTGGCTAAGAGTCCTCCGAGACCAGTTCTGTTCGGGCCAGTCTGGCTGACAAAACGGGCTCAGAAAGACACCGGGGTCTCTCCAAGTGCCCAGACACACAGCCAAGTAGGGCTGGGGGTGCACCCCTGGACCAGGAAGGTCATGATGGGCGCGGGCGCGGTCCGCGAGGCCCCTTGCCTGGCCCGGGTCTCCCAGCCTCTCCTCTCTGTCCAGGCCCTTCTGGCTCCAGTTTGGTTCTGTTCTTTCCACCTCCCCAGAAACTTGGAAAGAGTTCTCATTTCTCCACACAGGAGCCGAACCTGTGAACAGTCTGCCTACTCCTCCCAACACCCTGTGACCCACGCCTCGGGAGCGCGAGTGCCGGGACCCTACCTTGTCTGGCCCGGGAGCTGCCCCCTTCAGGCGGAGTTGGAGGTGCTGCGGAGAAGCCGGTGTCCGTGCGGCTGCGAGTGCGGCTGTGGGTGCGGGTGCTGTATTTGGCGCGGATGCGGGTGCACCGGGTGCGGGTGAGGGTGAGGGTGCGGGTGCGGATGCGAATGAGCGTGCGGATGTGGATGTGGATGCGGATACGGGTGGGGCTGCTGGGGCTGAGGCTTGGGTTGGGGCTGAGGCTGGGGCTGTGACTGGGGCTGGGGCTGGGGCTGGGTTTGGGGCTGGGGTTGCGGCTGGGGCTGGGGCTGGGGCTGGGGCTGGGGCTGCGGCTGCTGCTCCAGCGGGGGCTGCTGCTGGACCAGGTGCTGCTGCTTTTGCCGCGTGGACTTGACCGCCAGGATAGCCTGACGATTCTTGTACTGCACCATCTGCAGCGTGATCTCCGCGTTCCAGCCCTGGTCTTGCGGGCACCGAAAGTCGATCTCCTTGCCCTCTGCCATCACCACAGTGAAGTACATGTACTTGCCCTTGCGCTCCACACAGTCCACGGTCTTCATGTTGGAGAAGTGCAATTCCTTGAGCTTGACCGGCGGCTCGAGGGCGGTGACAGCGGGTCCGCTGGGTTGGGACGGCTCCGCCGGCGCCTGCCCGGACTGTTGCTGCTGTTGCTGCTGTTGCTGCTGCTGCTGCTGCAGCTGCTTGGGCGGGATGAGCAGCAGCCCCTCCTCGGTGAGAATGCAGCACTTCTTCTTCCAGAGCTGCAACAACCCGTCGCTGCGCTTCTCCAGCACGCCCTCCTTCAGCGCCTTGCAGCCGCTGCTCTCCAGCATCCTCCCAGCATAAGCGGGGCCGCTGCTAGGCTCGGCCTCTCCGCTTCCAGCCGCTCGGGCCGGGGGCAGCAGCAGCCGCCGCGCGCCGTCCTCGCCCCAGCGGCTCCCACGGCCGCCTGCCCGAAGCGCGCAGAGGAAGCTAACACGCAGGAGGCAGAGCGGCGGCGGCGGCTCTCGGTCCCGGCAGAGGGACAGCCGCGTCCTGATGCGCCACAAGGTCCCGAAGCTGCGAGCCGCCGGGCCTCTGCCGTCCTCTTGCGAGCGCTCACTGAAGGGCACTGGCTTGGCCCCCTCGCGGCGCTTTTGAATGGGCCATCTTCCCCACCCCCGAGTGACACCCAGCGGAAAAGGCGGCTCCTGGCGCCCGCACCGCGGGGGAAAGCCCAGCTCCGAGAGGCGCTCGGCAGCCGGCGCACGCCTCATTAACTTGGGGCCTTTCCAAAGCCGGCTGAGTCCACGCCCCCCGCGTCCCTCGCTCCGCCTCTCGCCGCCCACTTGCTTCCGCGCTCGTGCCCCTGGAAGGCGACCGGGACCCGAGCCCCGGAAACTCCTCTCCTCCACCCGGGGCGATCGCCCAAGGAGCCCTGGCTGCCTGACGACTAATGCCGACGTCCACAGGGCGCTGCGAGGCCATCCCCCGCGTCCCGCCTCTCCCAGGCCCGCGAGGCTCTGTGCTAACAGCCTCGGACAGTGAGGACCCGGCTGCGCAGGCGGGGGCAGCCTCCTGGCAGTGCGGCTTCTCGGTCCTTGCGAATTAGCCCTGGGAATTTGCGCTGGGCTCCGAGAGCCCGCAGAACCAGCGTTGTGGCCTGGGTGAACTGGGAGGCCGGGACCGAGGCTCGCAAGTCCCGCGGGTGTGCCTGCCCCGGACGCTGGGTAAACAACTGAGCGCACAGAGAGGACACCGTGCTTCCCACGCATGTTCGCTCACGGTCATTAAGTAGCTCTTCTTGCAGAGGGCGATTGTGAAAGCAATAGTGCAACTGTCGGGTTTGCCACGGGTGGAGAAAGGCGGACCCACGTCAGGTCGCATCTCGCCTGCTTTTTCTCGACCCCGACCGCAGGCACTGGCTTGTCTTCGGCTTTCTTCTTGAGCCGTCGGGACGGTGTGCAACGTCTCTTGAAACAGTAACAGCTTCCTAACTACAAACCGGGGGAACGTCTGGTGCTGAGATCCCACACTGCAAGGCACAGTTCCAAATGCCTGATCGGCCTCCGCGGGTCTCTCTTTCCAAGCGCCTGGCCAGATCTTGGTTTGGGAATCTCATTTATCTGTGACCCCGGGAAGGCCATGTTCCCAGATCCCTCCTACTCCTACATTTAAACAATGCGTATAGAAGCCGCTTCCTGGGAAGTAAAGTGTAACTGAGACCTAGCCTACCGCTAGGGAAATTCACCCCTAAACAGCCCCAAGTATGTGCGGACCCTCACGAGGACACGAAGAAGAATTAAACCAGGGCTGGACAAGTCAGCGTGGGCCAAGGTTAAGAGGAAGGGCTGCTATTATGCCCAAACTGGAACAGACAGATTAGCTCATCTGCTAGTTGTGCGGCAAGAGCAAAGAATTCAAGAGGGGAGGAGAACGTGAGAGCAGCTTAGAGAGCTAAGCAAGAATCGAATCCTTTGTGTGTCATGGTAAGAAATTCGAACTTAATCCCAAGGTAATCAGAACAAAGGATAACTTTTTTACATGAGGGCGTCCTGAATCTTCATCTAAGCAACAACGTCTGATCAAACGGGACAATCCAGCCAGCAATCCTGAGTCCCACTAAATTACGCTTGGCCAGATCTCTGGACTTCACATTGTTAATTGATTAGCAATCTTTTCAGGAGAGAGAAAACTGTTAAAATTATGTAGACTTCTAGTAAAACTATGTCTCAAAGATTTACGATTCTGTAAACCAATAACAAAAAAACTACACCTAACATGTTTTCTGTCCCCTCCCCCTTTGTAGGACGAGTGAGCATTCCAGAGAATTTCTACATGACCAGCTGTTCATTCTTTTAAGATGACATTCTTCAACTCATCTGGAAAGGATACTTCCTTTAAGTCTGTTATTCAGACTCTCCAAGGGCAGGTGTAGTTGGGAAAGACATTTCATATGGAAAAACACAAACTTGATAGGTTAAAAAATATGAGATGTAATCTGGAGGCCCAAGTCATTTTCTTAGGAGAAACTCAAGTGTATTTGGTGTTATTTAACCTTCTGCAGTTTACCAGTCTGAAACAAATGCATTCTGTTCTCATTTGAAAATGTCTGAACAGCCAGCACAATTTTCAAAGTCACCCATTTAATTATAACTAGAGACTTTAAAGGCCAGTATTTCCAGTTAGGTATTTCACAATGATTTAGTAATTGTGTGAGCAGCTCAGAGTTAAGTCTACAAGGTCTGACTACAGTGCATTACTGAAAAATATCAGTAATATAAAAATCCCATAGATTGGTGACAACTTTGCTCTTACTTATTTCAAGTCACCACCAACAGTTGGTGACTTAACAAATTAAGAACATACTTGAGTTGCCGTATGCTAATATTTGGCAAATATGTCAAAATGGCCATATTTGCCAATTTTTTAAGACAATGAGTAAATTCACAGAAAATAACTTAAAAAAAAAATACGTTGGGCCAGGCATGGTGGCTTACACCTGTAATACCAACACTCTGGGAGGCTGAGACAAAAGGATCCCTTGAGCCCTGTGCTACATGGCAAGATCTCCCTCTACAAAAGTAAAAGAAGTTTGGCCGGGTGTGGTGCATATGCCTGCAGTCCCAGCTACTTGTGAGGTTGAGGTGGAGGACTGTTTGAGCTCAGAAGTTCAAGGTTGCAGGGGCTAGGTTTGCACCACTGTACAAGCCTGGGCCACAGAGCAAAACTCTGTTTAAAAACAAAAACAAAAACAAAAAACAAAACTTCAGCTGTATATACAATAAAAACCTACAAATATCACTTAAAAGTTACTGAAGTTTAGAAAACTAGCCAACAAAACCATTGCTTTGGTAAACAAATTTGAAATGGCTAATTCAAGGTGCATTTTACAGTTGGCAATTTAAAGATGTCTATCAGCAGCATTTGACAGTTCATTTTCTTCTCTTGGATAAAGTTCACCACTGGCTTCAAGGACATCACTTAGTTTTCCTTTACATCTCTAGTGTCTCCTCTACAAGTTTCTCTCCTCTCCAACCTTTTAATGTTGGAATGCCCCACGTCTTAGTCTTTGGCTCGCTTATCTATACTTGCTCTCTTATTGATACCTAGTCTCGTCACTTTTAATAATATCTATATGCCAGAGTCCCAAATTTATATCCCCAACTTATACCCAACTGCTTATTGCCAAAGAATAAACCACTAAAGTTAAAAAATAATAAACATACTAGGCAAGGGAACACTGACTAGTAAAGCCATTCACTGAATAGTTCACTAGAGGTTTAAGTCTGAGGGGATTTTAGGTTATAGAGAATAATTAAAAAAAAAAAAAACTGAAAAAGAACACTCTGGATAGGTCAGAGAAGTCCATAATTTATACCTGACAGGTTATAACAAATTCTGAATGGAACTGCTCCAGTTTATAGGTTAGAATTAACTGTAGTGAAAAATAGCCTTCATTTTTATATATTCCAGGCCAGTCAGTGCTACTGTAAGTTGAAAATTCTCCATTTACATCTCTCTGCAGTACTGCTTGTGTAGTCTGAGAAATCAAACATGTAAATGAGCTCCCAAACTATTTTCCTCACCCTCATCTATTCTACCAGCAGCCCCCTTTCTCAGTTGACATCAATACTCTGAACAGATGCTCAAACTAAAACCCCTAGGTCAGTACTGCCCTTAACAACAGGCCAGGAAAGGCCCTTATCCAGGGCCCTGAGCTTTATGATTGCATGCTTTAGAGTCAAGATGACATGTCATCCAGAGGGCATACTCATTCTGCACTCCACTGTAGGTACTCAGGACCCCAAATACCCTGCCCAGAATAGCCCCAGCTGTTCCAGGAAATGCATTACATCATCATTGCATGCACTGATGTGTTAGGGGGATGGACAGTTTGAATATACTGGCTATGGCATCCAAGTAAATGTGCAGGAAGCTCCTTGCCATACAGTTCAGAGCCAGGGGTGGGAAGAAAAGGTGGGACATGGGCTGAGGGTCAGCTCTTCCCCCATGTTATGTTTTGGCATAAATATAAACCTGGCTTCTCAGTTCTAATGAAGGTGTATTTATCAAGATAGGCACACTGGGCATATTTTCATTAAACAGAACTTTTAAATATTTAAACATATGTCTCCATTGTACTCTTGCCCTAGGACTTTAAGTGTGTAGAAGCATGCCTGCCTTGTAATTATTTTTTTTCTCCCAATATTCAATTTACAGGGTCAGGATATCCCATTAGTTATGCCTTCAACTACATCTGGATTCCGTCCACTTCCTTCATTACCACCCTGATCCAAATCACCATCATATCCCCCTTGGATCACTACAATGGGCTCTGAACTTATCTTCCTGATTCTACCCTCGGTACTATTTTCAGCCTAGCACTCAGGGTCATCTCCATCACCTTCTTCAAGCCTTGGCTCAGCAGGCCTATCCTGATCACTGTAAGTAGTAGCCACCAAATTCCCCTTAATTTGTCCCATAGCATATATTATCTTCTAACATCTACTCAATAATTTACTGTACCTATTGCTTATTTCTGTTCCCCTTCCAACTAGAATAGTATGTAAGCTATTCAAGAGGCCAAGGACCATTGTTTCTGTGTCCCAATCACCTAGAAAAAGTCTTGGTACAAAGTTGATGCTCAACATATGTAGAAATCTTTCATGGAATCAGAAGTCCATACCCATCATAAAAAGAATATCAATTTTTTTCAAATGCTTGACGGATTTTTCATGATGCATCCTACCTTTTAAAATGTGCAATGAAAGGACTTGAAATTTGCCATACCAATATATATTTGGTATAATTTTTAAATGGATAACCCCATGCTAAGCCTCTCTGAATCTTAAATGCTTTTATAGTCAGACACCATCTAAAATAAATTCCACAAAACTTTTCCCAAGCAACATGCAATTTAATATTGTGAAAAGTATTTGTATAAACTAGCATCTTACTGTTTTCTAGTAAAAGTATTTCGAAGCAGAAGAACCACAACAATGGAACTGAGTTGGTAAGTTTCTTACTTGGCAGTTACATAGTCAAACACTTGATTAACAGTCCATTAATCAATACTGGCTTAAAGACATGTAAGAGAACTTGGAAAGTTATTAAGTGTTTAATATGTAATGATTACAAAATCCTGATCTGTAAACTAATTTGCAACATACAGTAGAAACTAATGACAACAGTCATTATTAAAGATTTGGATAAACCAAAGGTCAAACATCTTTCAAGAAATAGTTAAAAGCCAGTAAATTATGAGCATGTCACTTTACCCTCATCAGTGTATAAAGATAACCAAATAGTCCCACAGAGTGCAGTTTAGACTTCCTTGTCATTTAGAAGTACTATTCAGAAGAAATATTTCATAGATACTAGTTTCCAAAAGGCCTTGAGTTGAAAATGTTAAATATTAACACGGAACTCTCCAGACTTATTATATTAGGTTAAGTGTCCAGCTGCCTTCCTTTTCACCTTACTAGTTGATAAACTGATGCCTCCTAGTGATCAATCTGTGTAACAGCTTAAAGGAAGTGCTTTAATAAGAGTGCTTAGTGCTGGTTTTTTAAACTGCAGTACAACCTACTTGTGACTCCATCCTTTCTGTTCTGTCAGCAGCCTAATTCAGTTCTCATTCCTCTCATATAAGCTCTTGGGTGGTCCAACCACCTGATCCATACTATCATATACACAGCCTTCAGTTCTACTCCTATAACGTGACAGAAAACTTCTATTCGCCTTCCAGTGTACGTTATCATTCCAATTTCTTACACTTGCATGGCAAGTCCTCCACAAAATGGGTCCTACTTGCCTTATTTTGACTCTCCTTCCACGCAACCTTGAGCGAGTGCCAGTCATACATCTACTTGTCCTCGCTGCCTCCAATTTACTTTCCCAAATCCTCTGTAACCTTTCATTCTTCAAAGCCCAAATTAAATCCCACCTCTTAGATTTCCTAATTCCTTCCTAATCACTTCAAATTCTGATGAGCAGTTATCAGATTTTAATATGTCTACTTCACTAAATATCTAAGATCCTGGATGCGTGTTTTCACCATTTTACCTAATGGAGAGCTGATTGACAGCACTTAAACTGAGGGGAGATGACTAACGTTTTGTCTGGAAATTGGTATTATCCAAAATGGGGCAAGCAGGCTATCTTACTGAATGTCATTAACAAGTAACCAGGGAGTCTGATGATTTGTACACTTGTTACGATAATACTAGCTTTGAAATGACAAATGAAAATACAGAACTGGATTAAATGTAGCAGTTCAGCTCTCATTTTTGCCCTAAACTCAAAACATGGATTAGAAAGCAGCAGAGAGGAAGGTAATCCAATGAAGGAGGATGACAGAACCAGTATTATGTTGTCACAAAACTGCAATCACTCAAAGTGTTTATATTCTGGCTCTGGGTCTTTGGGGTAACAGGATACCCCAGTAACTAACAGTGGAAACATTGCTCTGTCTGAACAGCAATCAATCCTGTCCCCCATTAACAGCCCAAGAACACCTACAACCTTTCCTAAGTCTGCTTCAATTCTGAAACCAGGTAAATGCACCTGTTGTGTGCAACTCAAATATCTGATTGACAGTCACTTGGGCAGCTACCTCCATTTATGGGACTAGATTCCACAAGTTATTTCCCTCTTTTGCTGTCATTTTTCCACTACCACAGAACACACATCCTGAGAGGGCACAGGCTGTTCAATTTGATTACTACTGATCTCTAAGAAAAAAAAAACCAAAATCCAGTAATGGACAAATACCTTCATTAGATGATAGAGGACATGTAGCAGTGAGTGTAGACAATTTCCCCAAAAAACATGATAATAAAGAAAAAAGGTGGTAGTGGTGTTACTTTAGAAGAGGAACTCAGGCTTCAGAGAGGGTAGTGGTTTCATTACAGAAAAGGTAACTAAAGACGGATCTAAGAATAAAGGGAATAAAAGAATTCTGTGAGGGAGCGAGACTCAGAAAGGTGGAGGAACACTTCTTTTTTTTTTTTTTTTTTTGAGACGGAGTTACACTCTTGTTACCCAGGCTGGAGTGCAATGGCACGATCTCGGCTCACTGCAACCTCTGCCTCCTGGGCTCAGGCAATTCTCCTGCCTCAACCTCCTGAGTAGCTGGGATTACAGGCACACGCCACCATGCCCAGCTAATGTTTTTTTATTTTAGTAGAGACGGGGTTTCACCATGTTGACCAGGATGGCCTCGATCTCTTGACCTCATGATCCACCCGCCTCAGCCTCCCAAAGTGCTGGGATTACAGGTTTGAGCCACCGCGCCCGGCGGAACACTTTTATAAAAAACCCAGGAAATGTTTATGGCAAGCTTGTATGTTGCCACTAAACCTACCAGAAAAGGCAGATCCCATTAGAACCCCACCACCACCACCACAGTTTATAACTACCTGATTTAAGTAAATCACTGTTGAGTAACATTGAGCATCCCTTACACAGGTCAGAAACCAGAAAACACATAATAGCTTGTTTCTGATGATATTTCATTTACAACTTTAAGTCACTGTCTCAACCTCATTTATGCATGCATGCTTCTGAGAAAGATTATCATGCAAAATGAAATAAAAAGCCTTGGGCAAAGTAGGACTCCAATCATAATTAATCCTTTTTTGAACTATACTGAAAGAAAATTACTTTTCTCAGCCCTGTTCACTTATTTCTGAAATGCAGTTACTTCCATTATGTTCCAGGATATCCTTGATCAAATAATCCTTTTCTAAATCAACTTATATCAACATTATGTGACCAATGTGGCTGTCATCCTAACCTCCCTTGGCATTTCACGCCCAGCTCTACTTGATTTACTACCTGCTTTTGACACTGTGAGCATAAACCATAGGTTCTTCTTTTTACAAGAGAGGCTGGATGCCAGTAGCCTTTAGCCTCCTTCAGCTCATCCTGTACCTTGAACCTGGACATGATGTATGGCGCCCAACATCCACTTGATAATAAAGCAACTTGCCAAAGAGAAAAAGTAGAATGAAAGTCTGCTTGAGAACCATGAAGCTCCCATAATGGTCTCAGAGTCTATGTCTAAGCCTAAGAGAAAAATCTATATAGGCCACATTGTATTGGGGCTGTGTTATACATTATAATAAATACAAACTCTTCAGGGCAGGGGAGAGGGAAGGCAAAGAATAGCTGAATGTTGCTTAAAATGAAGTCTAGATTAACTCTGTTCTCTAAAATATTTAATATTCTGAAAGCTCTAAAGAACCTGCTTATTCAACCACTAGTTGCATGATAGAAAAATCTACAGGCAGTGCCAAGTGTAGGCCCATCCAAATGCTGGTTCCAACACAAATCAACTGTGTTCTTCTTAAAGTTACTTCTAACCTTATGCATAAAAAGGGGATTAACATCCCCAATCAAGTATGATTAAATAAGGCATTATTTTTAGTATTCATTTAATTAAATGAGCATTTAGTTCTCCCAAAATTGCTAATGCTGTAAACTGAAATCTCACTAGTTTAAAAATACACATGGAACAGCAATGAAGTTTTTCTTTAAACCCCTCAGTCTAGTTATATTATACCCAACTTTTGAAAACACATGTGTACTTCATGGTCATTTTATACATACCACTTGAGGTTCCTTTACTAGCTTAACATTTTTGTCTGAGTGAGTGATTCCAGATAAATATTATGTATTTATCTGGAAATCTCAATTGTCCAGATATAATTCAAGTAAAAGATTCCAATATGATGGGAAAAGTCTGTGTTTTTCTCCCTAAAAGAGGCATTTAATGTTTTTGGTCATTGTGGAAAATGATGGCAACAAACTAAGCCCAGTCAGCAAAATAAATTTTGCTTGTTTTAAGCCATTAAGTTTTAGAGCTTTTGTTTTGCAGTACTAGGAAATTACAACTATTGGTATGCCTTCCCTTGACTTTAAAAACAGTTGACTCTTGAATATCAAATTTGAACAGGGTCCACCTACCACCCTTGTAGCAGCAAGATCCTTCTCCTTCTCAGCTACTCATGAAGGCAGCGAGGACTGAGACCTTTATGATAATCCAGTTCCACCTGATAGTAAATACACACACACACACACACACACTCATTCATTCTGTTGCCAAGGCTGGAGTGCAGTGGCACCATCACAACTCATTGCAACCTCTTCCTCCTGAGTTCAAGCAATTCTCGTGTCTCAGCCTCCCCAGTAGCTTGAACTATAGGCATGTACCACTACCATGTGGGTACAGCCAAGTTTTTTTGTTTTTGTTTTTTGTTTTTAGTTTGCTAAATGCCCTGTTTATTCTGCAAACAAGGCTTAGAAATGTATAGACACAATTTGTAGGTTGGAAGATCTCTGTGTAGTTCTGTCTTCACAACTATACCTCACAAAAGCAGTAATGAGGGCAGCTTAGGAACACACTAACCTACCATTGTTTTGTTCAGAGCAAACACAGTGAGAATAGATTCCTAAGGCCTGTTTCTCTAGGTGATTGTCACATTTTGCTACTCTAGTCTTTAAGAACAAGTGGAGCCTTCACTTGAGCCGCCACCTCCTTGCCGTTCAGGGCTTCAACAATTGCAAGCGCGAACTCAAAGCTGGTCCCAGGCCCACCCACGGCTTGTAAGAATCAGGCCGTCCTTTTCCACCCGATTCTCAGAGTAGGTGTAATGACCTCCATTCATCATTTTGTCTTTAGCAAGTGGATGTGTTGTAACTTTACTTCCAAAACCTATTACATGAGCCAACAGAGCAGTAGGACCTGCACAGATGGTGGCCATCAGGCCCTTCCGGTTTTCCTGTTCCTTCAGTTTTGTATTTTTAGTAGAGACAGGATTTTGCCACGTTGGCCAGGCTGGTCTCGGACTGCTAACCTCAAGTGAGATCCCGGCCTCAGCCTCCCAAAGTGCTGGGATTACAGGCATAAGCCACCACACCTGGCCATGAAAGTAAATATATTTTTGATTCTTTGATTTTAACATTTTCTCTAACTTACTTCTACAGTATATAATACACATAACATACAAAGTTTGTGTTAAATGACTTATTGGGAAGGACTCACTAATAGGCTATCAGTCAAGTTTGTGAGGAATCAGCTTATACAGATTTCACTGCCAGGGAAGCTGGAGCCCCTAGCCCCTGCATTATTTAAGGGCCAACTGTATACACAATCCAGGTTTGTTTCACTGCTTTTCTCAATCTGCAGGAATATGACAACTACAAAAGACCACAGGAGACTGAACTACTGAGAATCAATCATTCCATTTGCTACATAGTCCCATACAGAATTATGGTTGGTCTATCGAATGGGTCTAGATAAATCCTATACATAGAAAACTTTGCTATACACTTACCATATTCCAAGCCCAGTGCTAGAAATTGGGAAACCCATTAGTGAGCAAGTATTTCTAAAGTACTTTTTTAACTGGTAGACCAGTTCAGAACTACAGAACAAGAGTAGGTACTGATGAAAAGGAGATCCTCTACTGAACTAATAAAACACATGCACAAAAGTCCAGTTGCAGAAGTAAAGAAAAGGCAGCCAAGCAGAGCTGAAACAGTACAAATGCAAGTAAAATAGGGCTGTCAAGCTGCTGTGAAGTGGCTAAGTGCACTCACCAAGCCAAATGAATAGCAAAGACAACAGTTCCAGTCCTTAGTTTTTAAATCTGCAGGTAGGTGTGGCAGCTCCCACTTGTAATCACAGTACCTCAGGAGGTTGAGGTGAGTGGACCACTTGAGCCCAGGGGTTAGACACTAGCCTGCACAACATAGTGAGAATTCATCTCAAAAATAATAAAAATAACTGACTGGCCTAATCCAAGTATAAAATCACATCTGATCTTAAGACACACACCCATGTCAATCCACACCAGCTCAAGGTAAATGTTAGAGATAGAAAGGATAGCCTGAAAAATGACAATTTGGGTGTACTGAAGCATGAGAAATCCAAATATGGTGAGACTTCATTTAGTTTTACCCTAGATCATTTCTGGATTCTGCCAAAGGCCAATGAAAATAAATCAGCACATAAAAACACAAACAAGAAAGGAATACAATGAGATTTTCTAACCCAGCTGACTTTAGGTTAAGGTCAAATTTTTTGTTTACAACAAACAAAAAATTTCAAAACGAGGCATGCTTAAATGTATTATCCAGTGTTAAGTCTCAAGTGTTTATGTACACTGAGTAAGGTATCTCTTACCTAGGAGGAATTTTGCCTTTGAACCAAGAAAACCCCAACTAGTTCAGAAATTAAGTTCTAAAACCAATTTAAAAAGTAATCCCTGTAATCCCAGCACTTTCGCAGGCCAAGGCCGGTGAATCACAATGTCAGGAATTGGAGACCAGCCCAACCACCATAGTGAAACCCCTCTCAACTAAAAATACAAAAATTAGCTGGGCATGGTGGTGGCACGTGCCTGTAATCTCAATGTGGGATTACAGGGATCTCAGCTTCGCAGGAGGCTGAGGCAGGAGAATCACTTGAACCCAGGAGGCAGAGGCTGCAGTGAGCCAAGACTGCATCACTGCACTCCAGCATGGGTGACAGAGTGAGATCTCAAAAAAAGTAATCCCAACCACAAATTTTACATTTTCTGTTTAGGAAGCATATCTACTAAGTGCTCAGAGGTTCTAAGTACTTTTGTTTCCTTATTAATGTACACCACAATCTTTCACAATACAGATGAAAACATTGATGCTGAACCAACAGGTGGTACAGACTCTAAAGCCTGTGCTTAACAACATTAATACCCAGACGCTACTTGTATTCTCATACATATTTATTAAAATTTGATGGTAGACATTTCTTTAGGGGCTGAAAGGTTTTAGTCTAAAATTGGATCTCCATTTTTATTCATGGATTGTTATTCCCATAGAGCAACCTCATCTACTTTCCTAGTTGGATCAACTGATTCCACTTATCTGAAGTTAATTACAAATGTAGACTGGAGTAGTACTAGGAAAAATAACATTGTTTGATTCAATTTCAAAGTATCCACTATGCATTCAGTTTTTATTACCATACATGTACAGAGTTTCTTTCACCTGAAAGGCCCTAGAAATACCCTGTAATGAACACATTCAGAAACTGGACTTCAGTTTCTAAATAATATTCCCTATTCTAAGAAGCCAGCAATCCTTGAAGGAATGGCCCATTCCAGAGCTGAAAGAGAATACGTCTATGATAAGCCTAGGAAACTTTATGAGCCAAAAAGTATATTGATCAGAGTAAAGAATATACTGGAATTCTTTGAACTGTTTTAATTTTGCAGTTGAAGGAAAGCTGTAATATTGATAAGTTACCCAAAAACATCAATCTGAAGTTTGACTAAGGGGATTCACTGCCGATAAAACTGTATTCAGCATTTTTTTTTTTTTTTTAAATAAAGCTTCTGTTCTTGGCTAAGTAAATTATCCTAACAGGTCTCAGACAGTATCTTGTTCACTGCTGCTGCCTTACTGCGTCATTTAATCTACTTTTCAGTTATATATATATATATATGTCTCAGAGGCCTTTACTAGCCTCTAAATAGCCCCTGGGGCCCACCTACCTCAAACGTTCTTACCTTCAAATGGCTGACTCACTCTCTCAATCATGTCTTACTTTAAAAATTATCTTCCAGCCAGGCACAGTGGCTCATGTCTGTAATCCCAGCACTTTGGGAGGCCAAGGTGGGTGGATCACCTGAGTCCTGGAGTTCAAGACCAGCCTGGCCAACATGGCAAAACCTCTCTCCTTAAAAAATACAAAAATTAGCTGGGGGTGGTGGCACGCACCTGTGATCCCAGCTATTGAGAGGCTGAGTGAGGTGGGAGATCACCTGAGCCAGGAAGGTCAAGGTTGCAGTGAGCCAAGATTGCACCAGTGCACTCCAGCCCGGGCAAATGGAGTAAGACCCTGTCTCAAACAAGTAACAAAAAATCTTCCATGGAAACGTTATCCTTATCCTCACTTGAAATATTCTTAACAGGTGGTTTTCAGTGTTCCAAACCCATTAAAAGGACTTTCACAGCTAACCTTTCTATGGACTGGCCACTTGTATTTCTACCTGTATTTCTAGTTATTTCAATTCCTTCTACGTGCCCTGAATTGTTCTGTTCTGGGACCTTTGCCTATATTTCCTCCTGTTCCTCCACCTGAACTGCTCACTGCTCAGAGGCCCTTCCCCTCACTTCACAAATTCCTACAGATTCTTGAAATCTCAGCTAAAAGCTCTCATACAAATTTTGAGCATTCTGGTAGAAACTATTTTACAACCTCATGAAGTTTTTCAGAGCTGCAATTGCCTAATACATCATGAATGATAAAATTATGAATACTATCAACTCTGGATATGAGATCTGTCAACTTCCGGCACTCACATATTTAATCACACATTTCCAGTTCCTAATTTTTGGCTTTAAGTTTAAAACATGTAAGAAACTGGCCAGGTGTGATGGCTCACACCTTAATCCCAACACTTTGGGAGGCCAAGGTGGGAGGATCACTTGAGGTCAGGAGTTCGAGATCAACCTGGTCAACAAAAACCCCATCTCTACTAAAAATACAAAATCAGCTGGGCTTGGTGGCGCATGCCTGTAATCCCAACTACTTGGGAGGCTGAGACACGAGAATCGCTTGAACCTGGGAGGTGGCAGTTGCAGGGAGCCCAGATCATGTCACTGCACTCCAGCCTGGGCAACAGAGCAAGACTCTGTCTCAAAAACAAAAATAAAACACGTAAGAAACTAAAAAGCATTGCTTCTATTTTATGCAATGTTTTATCCTGGGTTTCAAAATAATAAAACTCAGTTTGTCCACAAAACCTACAAATGCTCAATTTCCAATACAAAAATTAAACAACCAAATTGACTTATTTCCCACCAGCAATCTATTTCTAAATTAATATACCCCATTTCTTCTTTTATTCAGACTCTTGAGGATGACATGATCGTGCCTCAATAACCCACTCTAAGTCAAAAATATCCTAAGTAGAAGATGTGTTTAATAACCCAGTAAATTCATAAAAGCTGAAATCTTAACACGAACCATTGTAAGTCAGTGACTGTCTATACTAAGGATTTTAGAGAATAATTTCTGTAAACTGGAAAACCTTATAGTTTGATGTCAAAAGGAAGAAACACAAGATACAAAGCATACTGTATTTTTGGAAATATAACACATCAATCAAAATTTCTTATGGATAAGCACTTATCCTTAAGTAAAATAATTTCATATACCAACAAGGATATTTCCATTTCTGTAGTCACGTAAGTGATCCTTAATCAGGCAAGAACTTGGCTCTTTATCCAGGTTATATTTTAATATCTGGAGTTTTAATCTAGCATACAAAAATCACCAGTATACATCTCTTAATTGCAGTATTATTTCACTATCACCATTTACATTTACTTTTCAGGTATCAGAGACTTAGTGCTTTAAGTAGCAAATTACCTAAATTATGAACACATATTTTCAAAAACAAAACCAAGCTCATAATTATGTGTATACAGTGCAGACGATTTTAAAAAACTGAATTAGCATATATTTTTTTTCTAAAGCTCCTATGCAGAACTCATGGTCTTCTGCACTATCAATCTATTCTGTACATTTAAAATAACATTTTTGATTTAAAGTCAAAAATATAAAGGCTTAAATTTTGTTAAGACTAACCCATAAAAAGGACTCCAATTTTAAACCAATCCCTGAAACCAAAGCATCCAAATATTTGAACATTAGTTCAATATTTCTACATAGCACGATAAGATTTTCACAAAGTTACTACAAGTTTTGTCTTTATTTTTAATAATGGAATGGCCTACAATTCAGATAAACCTACAAATTCATACTGTTTATAAATAGCAGTAATATTAATATAAACAGTTAATTCCACTATCTTAGGAGCCTTACCATATCATTAACCTATTCACAGAACAAAAATATTTCTATGAAAGCTAATATATCCTTTCATGTTTGTTTGTTAAGTATGCTAAAACAGAAAATGAGGTAGAATCCCATTTTTCTTTAGTACCATTCCATAAGCCAATTCCACAGAATTAAGTTATTTTTGCAATCTAAAATAGTGATGCTAATACTGCTTCAGTAAGCTAGATTTACTAATGTAAGAATCCTAAGGAATTATGTGGCTTTCAGACATTCATGTTAAACTATAAATTCATCAATTTGTGGAATCTGTGGAACACTTACCATTCTTGAATGACCATAAAGCAAACAGTGCTAAAATTTTTTCTAATCAAAGTTTTCTTTGTAAGTGACTATATTTCACCATTTCTAACAGGCAAAAACAAAACCTACTTGGCAGTCTGCATGGGCTGGTGGAAACTATAATCAGAGTGTAAAGACAAATCTTCAAGTGTCTCAAAAATGTTTGTAGATAACTCAGAATATAATCTATCGGGAACTATGGAATTCCATTTTAGTCTTCAAATAACAAACTCCATTTAGCAGGGGTAGTAAGGTTGCTCTTAAAATTGTAGATTTAGAGAACATAGTGGCCTCAGCACAGAATAGCTCACTCTGGACATCGCTACTCTCCTCTCTTCAAAAAAAGTATACATATTCATTTAGAAAAAAAAAAACACCCAAAATATCACCAGAACATTTTATAAAATTAAATCCAAATTTTATTAAGGATTTCAAGTTACATACTTCAAATTTCTAGAATGGAATGGAATCATTTTGGAACTGGAAAAATGGCATAAACACTGACATCCCCTGAAACTTCAATATTATAAAGAAAATTCTTCTGCAAACCACATCTCCATTACATAACAAGACTAGGTATTATCTACACCGTCACTTTGGCAATAGCTATTTCCTAAAAGAATCAAAAAGATGATTTTGCTACTTCAGTTCATTAAAAATGGGATTCTATCTTTAAAGTTCAGAAAAGGCTGTGTTTAGATGAACTATGGTTACAAAAAAAAAAAAAAAAAAAAGCAAGAGTCTCTAATCAAAGCAAAGGAAATCATTTAAAATAAAGAGATAAAAGCTATTATTATTGGTTAAGGATTTCCAGTAGTAAGTTAAAATCTCAGGAGAGGAATGGATAGCACTACAAACAATGTGTTCACATTCTAAGATCTTTTCACTAACTTCTCAAAAAGGAAGTTTTCATTACCTCTAAAAACAAATTCAATGTAATTTTATTAAGAGCAGGAAATCTAGACCTTCCTCTAATGACAATCCAATAGTCCACCCTTGCTGTCATCAAAAAAAACTTCAACTCCAAAATTAACAGTAATTAGCCTGAGGTATTGTAAATGTGGCTCTACAGTCTGAAATTTTACGGCATCTTTTGTCAAAAATAGTCTTATTTCCACTTTAGTCTCACGACTACAATACTATATAGTGCTATCCCTGTAGTATTTACTACAATACAGTCATCAAAAATATCTGAAAAAAAATTCTTGGACCTTATGAAATAGTACATCCAACCACTTCTATAAAAATAGGAGCCACACAAAGATCAAGAGAGTGCTACCTGCCCAGATCCAGAACAGAGGTACTTAACCTCTGTTTTCCAGTTTAGTTGTCAAAGAGTAATGTGAACAAAATGCTGTGTGTCACACTGGCATTACAAATAGGCCCAAAATTTTGAGCTTTTAATGAGATTGAGAAACATTTTAAGAGATTTAACTCAATATGCCTTAACACATCCATGAGGTAGTTAAGTAAACAGTACTACCCATTTTAATACATAGTAAGCAGAACCATGGGTAAGTGACATACTCATATTTTAAGCAATAACAATTAGAAGAAACCACAGAAGCTCTGGGCCTTCTCTATAGCTCTAACCCAAAGAAAATGAATTTTTTTTTAAAACATCAAATCATTTAAGATTTTCTTCTTTTTTTTATACTTGCTTATTAGTATAGCATCTCTTTCCAAAGCTGGTACCCTTTCTTCAATAATGTGGTAAAAACTGAGTATAACCCTTAATTCAAGCTAGGCCTCTGCTTCTACCTGAATTGGTACAAAATTAAGACATTATCTTATAAGAACTAAAATTGTATTTGAAATTTTTATTTTAGGCTGCAAAAACAAAAACAAGCAAACAAACAACAAATAACTTGAAAATAGGCTTGTCAAATGATGTAAATTCATCCTTTCCAGGGAAGCAGAAAGTAGACCCTACCACAAAGAAAAGATGCTTAGTTAATGGAGGTTAAATTTAAAAGTACAAAATTCAGGCTAACTTCTGAAAATCCTGTTTTATTCACCTCACTGTGGTACCAATAACTATCCTGAATCAGGTTACTTTACAATTAACTATGTCACCTATGTAACAAAATAATCCATTAACAATCTAATACAGTTATTGGGTGTGGTCATACTGGAAATTCTTAACCATACAGCTGTCTTGCCAATTTTTTTTTTTTAAACGATGAATTGTCTTAGTATAAGTCACTGTATTTCTGTAACAAAGTAATGAAAGGCACAGCTAATCCAAGCGGACTTAATCCTATTCAACAACCAGCTGAAAAAATACTTTGGTTCTTCAAGGAAAAATTACGAAAAAAGAAAAAGTATTTCCTTTAACAGGTGTTAATTTTCATAGCTGTACTCCAAGAGCTACATAAAAATATTCCAGAAGAACCAAATTATGTAGTAATGAATGAACATGCGTGACGGAATCTGTGCATTCAACATATCTGGCAGAAAAACTAGTTAAAATGCTAGGTAGAACAAATTGGTCTTTAAAATATCAGTTTCCTGTCTTTTTAAAAAAAAATTACCTAGTCTACCAAGAAAATACAAAAACATAAGGCTGTAAGTAAATAAGAGTTGTGTTTAGGCTATTACAGTGCAGGTTATCCTCAAGGCCACATACATCCTGCTTCACTGCTGCTTGCACTCTGCTGGGTTTTGATCCTTCTGTTAAAGGAAAACAACAAGTCAATCTATCTTCTTCTACCTGCTTCAGTGAATTTCTTAATAGTAATTACTGCCTTAATTATAACAGTAGCTCACTGTTGTCAAAAAAAAAAAAAAAGGGTATAGGACAATGATGGTAAATTATTTTAGTAGCAAGTTACTGAAATGCTAAAATCAAGCTCAAACTTTACACTATAGAATTAACTCCATAAAATGTGACACACACTAAACCATAATCTTAAAAAATAAAATTACTAAGCAATTTATGTTAGTTATATTAGCAATCAGTTTTGCTTTTGCCTCAGGAATAATAAACTAGGACTCTCAGGGACTGAATAAGAGTAGCTGGAAGGATTTAACAAACTCTACTGCTCCCCAGTTCTGGAATACTCCTGCAACCAGATCTTTCAAAACCCTTTTTTTAAAAAGCTGTCCTTAGAAAGGAAAATAATCTAAAATCACATGCAATCATTTTTTCTAATGCATAAAAACTGTTCTAATTTGTCTCATTAAAATAGAATCCTAGGGTTCGCTGTGCCTGAAACTACAGAAAGTAGAAAGCCCAAGCAAAAAACAATGTTTTTAGAAAACAACGTTTTAGAAAAACGTCCACTGAAATTATGTGTACTGTTCAAAATGCCAGTGGGACTGAAAAAAGAAAAAGTTATCCAGCCAACAGGCTTTATTTACTAAAGACTTTAACAGAGAGAAATGAACTTGATATTCAGAAATACCAACTCTTACTTTAGTCTGTCTTAAATTTAATAGAAAGCAGCACTAATTTTGCTCACCTTCGGGTCATAGTCTGGATCATTTTCCTCATCTCCTTCTTCTTCCCCTTCCTATATTAAAGTTCAAAATGCATCCATGAAGTATGTACATAGTAGGTAAATTGGCTCATAATGTAGGGAAAATTTAATACAAGTTACTCTACGGGTCAACAGATTTTCATGATTACAGAGTCTGATGATAATACAATTTAATCTGAAAGCTTCTAATATGAAAAATTTCCCAACACAACTTGAGACATCCAGACAGCTTTTATTGAAAATAGTTACTGCAGCCAACGTTGAAAAAGTTTACTGCAGCTTTTGACTTCTTCAAAGAGCTGATAACCCTGCAGCAGAACAAAATTATTTGAAATAAAAAAATGTTGCTGAGTTTTGCAATTTATTTATTGAAACCTTATACATACATTGTTTGGCTGTAGAATTCTAAAATCATATTTTCCAAAATGTTTTTTATCCCAAATCACAGAATGATTATAGCAAAGGAATACATAAGTCATTCAATTTGCTTCTCAATTGTTAAACATATTTGCTCATTTGGTAAACATTACCTCATCCGCTTCTTCACCTTCTTCATCATACTGAAAAGGAAAAACAGCATGTGAGTGAATGTAACACACATTTCAGAGTAGCATTAGTAACATTCATCACTGTGTAAACTAGTATCTCAAAAGAAAAAACCTACTTTCCTATCAAGGGGTTGATTATAAATTAAAACACATACTAGCTGCAAGAATCACTCAGCTCACTGCCAATTTATAAAACTAAAGAACAGAGTACAATCAATCGTGAATAAAGTATGATCAGACAACTATTACTGTACATATTACCCACACCTAAATGTGGAATGCACTGTACAAAAAGGACCTAAACCCTACGCTAACAACTGCCATTGAGCAAAACATATCCAAAACATCTATATGCAGCTTAATCTTAACCTACTCATCACTCAATACTACCTTGAATGAAAATCTATGCCTCCCAGTAAACATTTTCTTGTACACTAAAAAGTCCTAGTTCTGTGAAGTCAAGGCAAGAGCACAGATATATAGCACTAACCAAAGTTTCACAAACTCAGAACAATCTTATCAGCAGAAAATTAAAAGCTAAGATAAATGAATCCAAAAATCCTAAGGAGACATACTTAAAATCCAGAAAAGCTATATACAGATCATCAATAATTTGCCTAATTTTGAATTATATTATGTCTTGCGTCTTAAAAATTAAATCTTATCTATTTCTCATTCTAACCACTATACTCTCGCCCAATTATTTCTTTGTAGTATTCAAATTCACTTACATCATCATCATCATCTTCAATAGCTTCTCCAGTAAAGTATAACACTGATCTTGGGATTATACGTTCACGTAAAAAGTGACCAATTTCGAAGTCTGCAGCAAGGATAGCTTCAGCATCATCATCCTATTTTTAAAGGAAAACAAAAGAAGAAAATTTAGGAATAACTTTGTTACTTAATTTGGCACGTGTAAGACTCTTAGAGGCTGGGTGTGGTGGCTTGCACCTATAGTACCAAAACTTCAGGAAGCCAACATGGGAGGACCACTTGAGCCCAGAAGTTCAAAACCAGCCTAGACAATGTAGTGAGACCCCCAACTCTACAAAAAATAAACAATTAGCTGGGCATAGTGACACAAGCCTGTAGTCTCAGCTACTTGAGAGGCTGAGGTAGGGGAACTGCTGGAGCCCAGCAGCTTGAGGCTGAAATAAGCTGTGATCACGTCACTGCACTCTAGATCCTGGGCAACCAAAAAAAAAAAAAAAAAAAAAAAATAAAAGACTAAATGGAGGGATGGATAGATAGATAAATAAATAAATAAACTGAGTCAGTGGTATATGAAAATTCTCTGTACCATCCTCATGATTTTTCTTTGACTCTAAAATTATGCAAAAATACAAAGCAAAAAAAAAAAAAAAAAAAAAAAAAAAAGTCTATGATGAAAGGAAGAAATCCTCAACTTTACTTTTTACTTTCCATTATTTTTCTCATACCATGTTAACAAATGATTTGTCATTTTCAAATTTCCTTAATAATTTTTCCAAGTTTTTAACAAAAAGAAAATTAAGTTAGCAGTCCAGTATGCATACTAAAGAAATTGTGAAGAATAAAAATTAGAATTGCTTACTTAGTTCTTGCTGGTTTAAACAAAAATATGTAAAAGCAGCTGTTACATATGTCTGAATTTTTCCTTTTAAAATACTGAAAACACCAAATAGAAAAACACACACACAAAAAAAACCCTCAGGTTATTGTAGGTAACATTGTTAAGTATATAGCAAATAGAAAGACATAATAACCACAGAGGATCACATATACTTCCTAAAAGACAGTACCCAAATAGCTGTACAGTTTTAAGTCTACTAATCCCAAATGAGATAGAGTCCTAGTTCAGAAAGACAATATACTAACTAAATCAGATACCCCTAGCACTTTTATTTTTTAGACAGGGTCTCACTGTGTTGCCCAGGCTGGCCTCAAGTGATCCTTCCACCTCTGCCACCACAGCAGCCGGGATTACAGGTGCCTGAAGCTGTACCTGGCTTAGGATTTCTATTTAATGGCAAAGCACAGGGCACAAGTGGGTCTGGCATTATTCACAATTAAAACAATCCCACTTTGGGTCGGGTGTGGTGGCTCACACCTATAATCCCAGCACTTTCGGAGGCTGAGTTGGGTGGATCACAAGGTCAGGAGTTCGAGACCAGCCTGGCCTATGTGGTGAAACCCCATCTCTACTAAAAATACAAAAATTAGCTGGGCATGGTGTGAGCACCTATAATCCCAAGCTACTCAGGAGGCTGAGGCAGGAGAATCGCTTGAAACAGGAAGGCAGAGGTTGCAGTGAGCCAAGATCATGCCACTGTATTCCAGCTTAATCAAAAGAGCAAAATTCCATCTCAAAAAAATAAATAAAAATTTTAAAATCCCACTTTAAGTTCTACGATACTAAACAATGAGCACACCCTCTGTGAATTTTATGAATGTTTGAGTCAAAAACACAATCTTATAAATAAAAAAGTCCAAAAGGGCGGGGGCGGGGAGGGATTCAAACCACAGGTAGAAGTTTTCTATCCATAACTAACACTGTTTTGTCATCAATATTTAGTAACAAAAAAAAGAACTTGAACACAAATTCCAATCCATCCACTGATATGAAAACAGTGTGACGCTCTATCTTAATACTTAAAGTAGTTCTTCTTGCCTAAAATTCATACTGCTTTGTATTTCCTTTCATTGTCCTACAAGCCAAGCCAAAAATACTTACTTTTGCCTTTTGCAGATTTGTTCTAAGCCTTAGCCAAGATTATTCCAATTCAAAAGTATTCCGTTTAAGTTAATTTCTAATTCCATATATAAAAACTATTTAAACTATCTTAGTTAATTTAAATTCAAAACCCTGTCCAAAAGAAAATCAAATGCAAAATATACCTGCCCTACCTTGTATGTACAGACTTTCTTTAAGGTTGTTCCTCAGTTCAGGCTATATGGCAGGAACCTTTCATAGTCCTTTGCCATATGCAATATACGTGAACATACACAGTCACAATATGAAACCATATTTACACTGGAATAACAAATACAGGAATGAATTCTAACCATAATGTAGCTAGGAATTTAACAGTATAAATGACCTAATACATTCTGGTTTTACTAAGGAAGACATAGTTTTGAAAAGTTAAATACCTCACATCAATATTTGTAAGTCTCAAAAGAAAGAAAACCTTAAGCTTTTTAATCTCAGTGTTTCTCAGTAGAGGCACTGATATTTTGAATGGAACAATTTTTCAGATCCAAAAAGCCTGCCTCATGTATTGTAGGCCTCAGAACTCAATGTAACAACCACCCCACTCTCAATTTTTGAAATTCAGTGCTTTAATTTCAAATATAGTAAACAATTCAATAAATAAATAACAATTCAACTTACCAGATCTCCACTCTCGGGAACTGCAAAATTGAGAAAAGAAATTAAAATGAATAAGAAGCTGAACAATGCTTACTATAAAACCACCATTAATACTTAGGCAAAAATATTATTTACCTTCAGGAGGGGCAAAAAAATTAAAGAAAGAGTCATTGGAAACTGTTTTAGTCACAGTACGAACTGTCCCGCGTCCCTTGTGTTTCTGCTTCTTCTTGATGGTTTTCAAAGTGACATTCTTTCCTTTTTTCCAATCTATCTGGCACCTTGCAAAACAAAGAAAAATCTATCACAATTGACAATCTTTCAATTGCTAAACTTTTAGAAGTAAATGTTATATTTAGATTTCAAATTTTAGAAGGGTGAAATGCTTCAAGTGTTTTCTATAGCAGTATAAAGGGAAAAATTTTATTCCTAAGCAAATATTTAAAATAAACATATTTACAATTAGCACAAACAAACAGTATGATTTAAAGAAGCAGTCATGGGCCCAAGGAGAATTATAGGAAAATTGTTTGTCAGAAAACATCTTACCAAAACGTTCAGAGACAGACTATGTACATATGTAAATGGAAATAAGTATAGAAATAAAGTATAACAAAAATAAAAAACATTTTATTAAAAGGTAGTAAAATTAAACTCACCCCGTACAACCCATAATTTCTGGTCCATCAAAAGAAAAGGGATCAGAATCATCTGGTTCTGACCTCATCCTATATGTCTTTGTCAGCACTTCATTTGTAAAATATTCATTGGGCTCAAAGTGAAATTCTAAGACAAAACTCTAGGGGGAAGAGGAATAAAAATCAGTGAATTACGTACTTCATAAATTTCACCACTTTAGTAAATGCAGCTAAATCTGTTTTTCAAAAACATACATAATATTCTAAGTGATAATGTTTTTTCTACTCTGAAATACAGCTTTTTGTTTTGTTTTGTTTTTTTTGAGACAGAGTTTTGCATGGTTTTAAGACAGTTTTACATTTCCAGGCTGGTGTGCAGTGGCACAATTTCAGCTCACTGCAACCATTGCCTCTCAGATTCAAGTGATTCTCGTGCCTCAGCCTCCCAATTACCTAGGATTACAGATGTGTGCCATCACGCTCAGCTTATTTTTGTATTTTTAGTAGAGATAGGGTTTTACTATATTGGACAGGGTCGTCTTGAACTCCTCACCTCAAGTGATATGCCCACCTCAGCCTCCCAAAGTCCTGGGATTACAGGCGTGAGCCACTGAGCCCGGCAGTGAATATTTTATGGGACAGACTGTCAGATAAGCCCTGGATTATTTTTAAATCAAAATGAGGTACAAATTAAACTGAATAAAGCTTAGTTTCAATTTACAACTACTAAATAATTAACATGTTCACACAATAGGCTAGGCACACCTAAATACTGTCTCCCTTACTCTCCCACCTACCCCAGGAATTAGGCTTTTAAATAGAGGCTAAACGTGAACTTGACACAGAAAATGCCCAACCATAAGCATCTATAGCCTATATTCATACTAGTTTTGCCCATAGTTTACATTAATACTGGTAGTTTGGTGGACAGGCCGTTGGCTGATTTTTCCTTATTTTAGGGAGCGGGCATCCTCTAACATCATCAGTTTTATGTAATTCCTAAGCTCATGCCTTTTAATACAGAAGAAGTACTTATTCATGTTCCCTTGGCATTATTTTTATCCACTTAGCCAGGAACAAGGATTGTCTGTGTTTCAAACAGTTTATGTTCAGAGGGAGGAAAAGGAATAAATACTGCCTCACAATTAGCAACATCCAAATATTTATTCACTACAACAAAGAGCACCAACCTTCTGCTTGAATGTTATCTTTTCAAAAGTTTCTATTTATCTACCTGTAAGCATGTTACAAAATTATAAATATTTCAAAGTTCTTTTACCATGGGCTGGCCAGCATCTGAGAACTTCACTTTAATATCTTTCAAGTGCTTCAGAATAGGTTCATCATGTTCCTTCAAATTAAAAAAATTTAAAAAAATGAGTATCTAACATGGCATTTGAGAGCTGTGTTCTGTTACTACACAGATACCAGCTGACAGAGATGTATTTTAAAGTAATTTTGTATAGCAATTATGAACCTTAAGACTTACTCTCCAGGTTATGGCTTATACTAAAGCTAGTTTATACTGCAGTTCTACTGCCACTGGTAGAGAAAAAGTGTCCAAATAGACAACTAAATCATTATATAGGACAAAAAATTCAAAATCCAGTCTAAATAAGGCACATTTGCTTTAAAAATGTTTCCTGATTATAACTGCTGCATTTTCCAGCTGCTTGTCCCTTCCTCCTGCTTGATCCTCTTCTACTTTGCTAAAGTAGAACTGTACTAAGCAGTAATTATGTGGAGATCATTTCTTTTTCTCCATGTAACTTCCAACAAGGACAAGACAGGGAAACATGTACTACTACAACGCACATGCAGTGACTCACTCAAGAAATGCTTAAAGAAGTTCCCAAAGAAGGTGACAACCGTTATGGTTTGCCAGAGAATGTAACCATTGTGAATGAGTTTAACATCTTTATAGTATTCTTAGAAAATGCAAATTTCTCCTGGAAGAATTGTTTCAGATTGAAAAAGGTTGTTTGGGGTGGGGGGATGGGTAGTTGCATTAATTGCAGCTGTTAAGATTAACTTTCCTATCATACTTCCATACTAAACTGGTAAAGACCGAAGCCACAGGGTTATGAGAAAACAGCAGTTGATAATGAGCAATTATCAATGGGACCACTTCATTATCTCATTTTTGAAAATAAACTGTAATTTATTTGATTACATTAATCAAAGCTGTAATTTCCCTTCAACAGATATTAGCTGTTTCAAAAGTAAGCAACCATTCTAGAAAGATCAACACTGAGGAGAACAGTCATCATGCCATTTAAACTTCAAAGGTTTACCCTTCAAAGTAAACTGGTACATTTATGAATAAAATTACCTGAACCATATCACTGAGCAAGTCAACATTCTTAAAAACAGTTAACCAAAATTCAGGAATTCCTTTGGGGTCTTCTTTTTCTTCATCCTTTTTCTCATCTTCAATCTTGGCCTTTTCTTTCAATTCCTCCTTGATAAGTGACAGCATACATTATTTAATACATAGATCAGACCTCTTGATAAAGTAGCAAAGGTATAAAAACCAAAAAGCGTACAGTCACCAGATTATTACCTTCAAAGTTCTAGTCTACCTGTGTAAACGTGTATAAATACTGCTATTACCCATAACAAACCTTAATCCCATGAAAATGACTGCTACCACACCCCTCTGAAGAGAACCACTAAGATGACCAAGATCTGTAGGAAAAACCCTTTTAGTGAAAAAAAAAAAAATTTAACTCACTAAAAATGAAGTCTTAAGCATAGTAAACAAGAAAAGCAATATTAACTTGGTCCAATGCCTCATGCCATGGTGTTCTTAATCAAAATATAATGTTCTCTTTACCAAACAACATAAAATAGCAATGCTAGAGAGGTGGAGCACTTAACAGCACTGAAGGTGAGTCACAGCTCTGCCATTATTCATTGTGGGAAAGACACTTAAAAGCCTCCATTTCTTCACTTGAAAATGGCAACAATCCTCAGCCTATCATGAAGTTAAAAAAGAAACGCATATAATGAACCTACAAACTAAAAACTATAGGCCGGGTGTGGTGGCTCATGCATGTAATCCCAGCATTTGGAAAGCTAACGAAGGCAGATCACTTAAGGTCAGGATTTCGAGACCAGCCTGACCAACATGATGAAACCTCATCTCTACTAAAAATAACAAAAAATTAACCAGTCATGGTGGTGCACGCCTGTCATCCCAGTTGCAGGGAGGCTGAGGCAGGAGAATTGCTTGAACCCAGGAGGTGGAGATTGCAGTGAGCCGAGATCATGTCACTGCACTCCAGCCTGGGCAACAGAGTGAGACTCAAAAAACTATAAAAATAGGCTAAGCACAGTGGCTCAATGGTTCAAGTCCATAATTCCAAGACTTTAGGAGTCTGAGGTAGGAAGACTGCTTGAAGCCAGGAGTCCAAGACCAGCCTGGGCAAGAAGACTCTGCCTCTACAAAAAAAATGTAGAGATTAAGCTGGGCATGGTAGCGTCAGATAGTCCTAGCTACTCAGGAGGCTGAGATGGGAGGATAGCTTAAGCCCAGAAGTTCAAGGCTGCAGTGAGCTATGATCATGCCAGTGCACTCCAGCCTGGGCAAAACCCTATCTCTTAAACCAAAAAAACTATAAAATGCAAGGAAATAATGACTTTTTGAGCAGATGGTGGTGCCACGTTGAATAATAGCTCATCTGCACTATCATTCTTAAAAAAAGAAAAAATATTTCCTAGGTATAAAAATATAACTGATTATGTAATATTGTATTCCATCATTAAATGCTAAAATTTCTGACAAGTCCTAAGATTTCATCATCTAAAAAACACACTAAAATAAAAGATGATACTAACCGAAATCTCATCTTCTTCATCTGGTTTCCATTCACATTCTTCTTCCGTAGGCTCATAAATTGCATTAATAATCTCAAATCGCTAAAATGATTTAAAAAAAGGCTGTATAAAAATATTGGCATCCAAGCTAAAACCAGTGGTTTCTCACTAAGTAGTCTTATAAATTTAACAAATGCATACCATAACCTTGACTGCTATTATTGATAGATCCTCCAAGTGCCACTAATAACAATTTCAATGACAGTTCTAAAGACCAAGCTCTTCCAAGTCTGCTTATATTTCCAGAATTTGTCTTCTAGAATGATAAATTAAACTAATTAGGAGAAAGCATTACCTTATCAAATAGAGGCTGATAGAGAACAGCATACTTCCTTTCAAGATCGTGAACTTCCTCATAGAATTTGGCTTCTATCTGTGCACATTTAACTTGCAGGTTTTTGAGAGCATTCACTCGTCTTTTAACTACCCTAGGCAGGCTGAAAGGTTAGAAACCAGTTACACAGCATCATAGTGAAATGGAAGTCACAATTCTTTTGTCATACTGAAACTGAAGCATCAGAGTTAGTGAATGACAGGTTTTTTTATCTGAGGCAAAAGAGATTCAAAGCAAATAAAAACCAAAGAGATATGAATATAGTGAACCACTGGCTATAAAATATTTCAAAAGTAGCAATGAACTAGGTAAATTGATAAAGATGATGCAAATCATACTGCCAACCCTAAATCTTTAACCAAATGTTGGACTTGTCATTGATGAGGTCATGGCCTAACCATCTTGGTTCTGAGAACAATGATTACTTGGATTTTTCTTTTACATATATCTCACCTATACAAGCTATTAGGAAAAGGAAGGGAGTATGTGTGTATTAGGAAAAAGGACAAGATCCCACACACCATTATTTTATTTTAGTCTCCATATTTAATCAGGAATTAGTAATTACATTATTAAATAAGAGGAGACAAGTATTTTTAAAATAACAGCTTTAGGCTATGTGCTACGGCTCACACCTGTAGTCCCAGCACCTTGGGAAGTCAAGGAGGGTGGACTGCTTGAGCCCAAAAGTTCAAAATGAGCCTGGGCAAAACCCTGTCTCTACAAAAAATACAAAAATTAGCTGGGTGTGATGGTGCATGCCTGTGGTCCGAGCTACCTGGAAGGCTAAGATGATAGGATCACCTGAGCCTGGGATGTTGAAGCTGTATTGAGTGAGATTGCATCACCACTGCACTCCAGCCTGGCTGACAGAATGAGACCGACTCAAAAATAAATAACAGCTTTGATGAGATAAAATTAATACACCATACAATGCACTGTGAGACACTGTTTTTTGTTTTTTTTTTTTTAACTTTTATTTTAGGTTTAGGGGTATATGTGAAGGTTTGCTGTGCAGATTATTTTATCACCCAGGCATTAAGCCCAGTACCCAATACTTATCTTTTTACTCCTCTCCTTCCTCCCACACTCCGCCTTCAAGTACCTACAGTGTCTGTTGTTTCCTTCTTTGTGTTCGCGAGTTCTCATCATTTAGCTCCTACTTATAAATAAGAATGGGCAGTATTTGGTTCTCTGTTCATGGTTAGTTTGCTAAGGATAATAGCCTCTAGCTTCATCAATGTTCCCACATGATCTCCTTCTTTTTATGGCTGCAGAGTATTACCTGGTGTATATGTACCACATTTTCTGCATTACATCTGTCACTGATGGGCATTTAGGTTGATTTCATGTCTGCTACTGTGAATAGGGGGACTGATTTTTTAAAATTATACACACTAGGTTATGAATCTCCTAAAGAATGATTCAACCTCTCTAACAATAAATGTTCACACTTAAAATGTAACTTCAGGTAAACTATGCAACAGATACAAAATCCAGATTAAAATTTCTTGCCACAAACTTCTGCAAATCAAATAATTCATTAACTTAGCCACTACTTTATTTAAGGCTATCAGAAATAAAAAACAAACACTTAAAGATATCAACTTTCTATTTCTGTTAATTATAAGCAAAAAGCACTATTCTGCCAAGGCAGTGAACTAGCATGGGCTTCTGGCTTTTTTTGCCCCCTCAAAAAGCTATCCCTAACAACTTCAGAACCAAGAATGAAGCAACTACTTCAGGCACATACACACCATAAGCAATTTCAGGTAAGACTGGAGGTTGTGTTTAACTGGTACAGGGTAACTAACAACATGGGGAGGGAATGGCCACAGCAGGCAGCAGTGCAGACAGGCTGGAAGATAGCATTTCTGCAAGAAAGTTTCTTAAGTTCTGCATCTGCCTTGCAACAATCATTGCCTGCCACCTTCACCCTTCACATGAGCCCAATGCCAGGGTTCCTGAAATAACATGAAGAGCTGATGAAAGCTGTACTGGTTCAAAGCCCTCAAACATGCATTTGATCCAATCTAGGAATAATAAATTAGACAACCAAAGGAGACTGGTACCCACCCCTACAAAGCGCACCATAAAAATTGCCTGGATTAGCAACAAACTTGGTCTAAGGCAACTAGTGCTACTACTTAGGTTCACCCCGTGCCCTTCTCCGTGTCACAGACCTTCATTTCTCTCTAAAAAACAATCAGGGTCACTGGTATTGCCTAATGTGACGGAGCTCAAAGGCAAAAATAACTAGACATTTCAAGAGTACAATTTCTATGAAAGAGTCAAATTATCATCTGAAGCAGCATTATTAGACAGAGAATTTAAAGAAGAATGCAAATATAGAGATGAGGAAGATTAACAACATGCAACAAGACCAAGAAATCTAAAACAGAGTGGGAATGTTAAGTAAGAAAAATACAATAACTAAAATAAGCAACAAATAAGAGAAACAGGATAGATTCAACTGAAGATAAAGTCCATGATGTTGAAAAGTTCTACCAGAAGGCAGCATGAAGGACAGATGGAAAATAGAAAAGCTGAGATATGTATTACAAAAGTATCAACAGCTAACAAACAGAGAAGGGGTACAATACTTAATAAATGGGAATGATAAATTTCTCAGAATTAAAGCAATATAAAAATCCTTACTCTGCTTCCTAGATGGGTTAATGAGATTTATGAATACCAAAGACAAAAGAAAATCCTAAAGGTTTCCAGTGAAAAAGAATAACCTTCAAAGAAAAACGAATCAGACTAACAGGCATTAAAAGAAACACTGAAGTACAGAAAAAAAAAAAAATTGTACTTTTTAAGCCTATTTCATAGCCAAACTATCATTCAGATATAAAAGCAAGACGGAAATTTTATCAGGTATACCAGGCTTTAGGTTTGCCACAGATACTCACTATATATTACTAAAAGCAATTTTTGAGGAAGTTTAAAAAAAAAATCCCGGAGATTCTACTTAAGGTATGCGTGTGGTTAAATATCTTGGTAAATTTCTTGCTTTGAAGGGAAAAATAGAGTGCCAGAGAAAGCACATTTGTAAATATAGATATTGGTAAATTTAAGAAACCAATAGGGGCAAATAAACTTAGATATCAGGTTATAAGCTACTACCATATTAACAAAAACCAACACATTAACTTTGAAACCACCAGAAGATGACTTGATCTATCCAATGGGAAGCAGAAAAGAAGGAAGAAAAACTCGAAGTAAAATAAATTAAAAAAACAGAGCAAGACGGCAGCAATACATCCAAAAATACAACTTTTAAGAAATGTAAAGTTAGACTTACTATAATAAAGAAACAAATATTGATGCCGGGTGCGGTGGCTCATGCCTGAAATCCCAGTACTCTGGGAGGCCCAGGCAGGTGAATCACCTTAATGCAGGAGTTCAAGACCAGCCTGGGCAACATGGCAAAACCCCGTCTCTACAAAAATATAAAAATTAGCCAGGCACAGTGGTGTGTGCAGTCCTCCCAGATACTTGGGAGTCTGAGGCAGGAGAATTGCTTGAGCCCAAGGCTGAGGCTGCAGCAAGCCATCATTTTGCCACTACACTCCAGCCTGGATGACAAAGCAAGACGCTGTATCTAAAAAAATAAAAGCAAACATTGATACTAGAGGAAAACACAAAGACGGAAAAAGACATACTAGGTTAAAGGTTAAAAAAAAAAAAAAGGCTGGGGGTGATGGCTCATACCTGTATTGCCAGCACTTTGGAAGACCAACGTGGGAATTATCACTTGAGCCCGAGTTTAAGACCAGTCTAGGCAACACAGTGAGACTCCATCTCTACAAAAATAATAGCCAGGCATGGTGGTATGTACCTGTGAGTCCCAGTTACTTGGGAGGGAGAGGTGGGACAATCACAGTTAGCCATGATTGTGCCACCACACTCCTGTGTGGGTCACAGAGCAAGTCCTTGTCAAAAAAGCTAGTGGTAGTTATTGAAATATCAAACAGAAATTATGGCCAAAAAAAAAAAAAAGATAAAAAAAGATAAAAGGAAGACATATATCAGTAAAATGAAACAAGAGAACAAGAAATGCTCTCACAAATATCATACACCTAATATGGCTTCAAAATATTTCAATCTACAAGTGACAGAAAAACTGTCAGGTCAAGCAAACAACGAATAAGCACAAATAGAGAGAAGCTGAAGAATATAATAAGCTTGAGCTATTAATTTCAGCATGCAGATCTTCACAATCAACATTTACAAAAATAAGAGTATTAAGGCCATAAAAAACACAAATGAACAAATAAAAATCAAATAAATTAAGCATTCAATTTTAAAAAACTGGAAAGAGTAACATAGAGCAAACCTAAAAAGGAAGTAACATTAATGCCAGAAACCAGACAGCAGCAATAACAAAAGACAACACAGAAAAGGAAAAGTCAAATTAATATTTTAAGAAATTAATAAGATCAAGACAACTAGCAGAATTAAGATGCAAAATACAGATTATGAAAACCAGATTTTTAAGACTATTATAAACTATGTGCTAATCAATTTTAAAACTAGATAAGTGCATACATGTTTAAAATATAGAACTCCAAAACTGATGTGAGAACTTGAATAAATTAGTATGTTAAAAAAAAAAAAAAAATTCTCCATAACTCCCCAGGACCTCACTTCCCAAACTCTAAAGGCCCAAAGTTAATTGTTTCAGGAAAGAAAAGTTGTTTCTTTCCTGAAACAACTTGTATTAGATAAGAATTAACTGTTCTTGGGGTAGAATTCTTCTAAAAATTTACTTTGGGCCTTTGGAGTTTGGGAAGTAGAGGTCCTGGGGAGTTTTGGAAAATTTTTTTTCAAAACATACTAATTTATTCAAGTTCTCTCATCAATTTTGGAGTTTAAAAGGAAAGAAAATAAAGAAAAAATAAAAAATAAAAGCAGCTCCATTCATTTCATTAGGCAATTGTATTTCTGACTCCAAAAACCAGTTAAATATTACCATTTCCTGAAAGTTTCTTCATGCATGTACATACATGCATGCACACAACACAAGCTTATTTCACTAACAAGTAAGAACCATAAAATTCAATTAATCAACAATGTAATGATAACACATCATGATTCAATTTACTATAAGAATGCAAGGCTAGTTTGATATCCAAAATCAGTATTTCCAAAACAAAAACATATATTTACTATTTACTTACTATAGCGAAGTAAAAAAAGGGGAAGGGAAAAGTTCAATACAGCATCTTAATTGATATAGTTAAAAAAAAAAGTTCAGATTAAAAAAACAGCAAATAGGCACTGAATTTAATGGAGATTTTATATTCATTCCCAATATGAATGGAAATAAGACTTAATACAGTAGTGAAAGTGCTGGTAATGTTGTAAAGAAAATTATGTGACATAATGTAATATGGAAGAACAGAGCTAAAACTGCCATTATTTGCAGATAAAATCTTCTGACAGGGGCCAAAACAGAACGCATTACTACAATAAGTTTAGCAAGGTNAAAAAAAAAAAAAAAAAAAAAAAGCAACAATCCTCTGTACATCAATAACAGCCAAACATACAATAAAAAAGATGCTATTCACAACAGCCACACAAAATATACAGAAATTAACTTAACCGACAGACTCTATGAAGATAACTTTGAAACTAAAGACACAGAATGTGACCTGAAGAAGTATGTGGATGAGACAATATTTTAAAATGTAATTCTGTCAATCTATAAATCCAATATAATTCCTATCAAAGTTTCAAGGTTTTTTGCTTGTTGATAACCCTGATAAACTTAAACTGTCAAAAATGTGAATGATTGTGTTGGGGGAGAAGTGTAAAAGGATGCAACCTGCCCTGCTAAATATTAAGACGTGCTGTAAAGTTATAGTAATCAAGTGTGACAATGACAAGAGACAAAAAGACCACACAACAGAAGAGTGCTGCTCAAAGACAAACACAGATGTTTATAACTTGATGTGCAATGAAGGTAGGTGGAACCCTAAATGGGGGAAGAATGGATTGTTTAGTGAATAGTGTTATAAAAACTAGCTCATGTCACTGGAGGAGGACCCGCCACCAAAATTAAGCCAACCTAGCTCATTAAAAAAATGAAGCAGAAGAAAAGGGAACTGGAAGCTTATATATAACAAATATAAAAGTAGACTCTAGAGGGATTTAAGACCTAAATATAAAAGGTAAAACTATTCAATAGGAAACATAGCAGGACCAGGAGGGACTTCTTAAACAGTTTCAAAAGCACAAGCCTTAGGGCAAAGTATTTTACTAAAATAAAACTTGTTTACCAGAGGACTCCATGGATAAAATTAGTAGAAATGACACATTATTTAGAATGCCTAAAAACAGATAAGGCAATAACATTTAGAATACAAAGACTTTTGCAAAGCATTAAAAAAATAGCAATCCCAACAGGAAAATGGGAAAAGGGTACCAATGAGCAACCGAAAAGGCTCACAAGCATTATGAAGAAAAGCTGCTCATTAGGAATCATAAAATACAAATAAGACAAAATGAGTCTGCACCTCTTAGGCTGATTTAAAAATAAAAACAAAAAGACCACAAAGCTGGATGGTACTAATTGTTGGCAGACATAAAGATAAATCCATCTTCTTGCACTGGGTATACAGCATTTCTGGAAATCATGCTAGAAGTATAATACTTAAAGCCTTACATACTCTATGTATAAAGTGGCAATCCCACTGCTGAGTACACATCTCAAAGAAATTCTTACACAGTTCCTTTGCAGGACATGCACAAAGATGTCCATCACAATTCATGTTGATAAAGAAGTCCATCATAGGAAAAGCAAATAAAACACCACAGAGAACTCGGCAACATTTAGAAGCTACTAACTATAATTAACATATAGATAGTAACCTGAATGGATCTTAAAATCACAAAGAAAGTTTTTTAAGTGTGTAAGCTGAGTTAAGATATTCATGCTATTATGAATGATTTATGTCACCAGTGAAATAAGAAATCGATATTTCTTCTAATTCTGTGTACTTCTAACACACCTATAAACAAATCTCAGAAATACTTAAGATCAGTGTACTTCCTATAAACTTGACCCCAAATAAATAAATTTTAAAAGATCAATGTAAACAGGTGGTACTAAGCACAATTTTAAACTTCCAATAATCCTATACTAGATACTAACAGACAACAGGTTTCTACTACTGCATATCTAAATGCTAGATGGTCTTAAAAATAGATATGCCTGCAATGTTGATTGATTATAGAAAGATAAATAAGGACCATGGAAAAGGAGAACTTGTACCTTTCAATGTATCCTGTTGGTGTTTCTACCAGACCATCAAGTCTTTCTTGAAGGGCTGCAAGAATCTGAGGATTTTGCATCATCTGAACAGTTAGCTGACGTGCTTTAAAACAAAACAAAACAAAACAAAAGGGCATCGAAAGAAGGATTTTATGAAAATGTATTATGCTTTTTAAATAGGACAATCCAATCTCATGAAGTTTTCCTAACTGGCCCATAAATTGCTGGTATATATAATGAGTAGAGATGGGCAGGGCAAGTTAAAGAGAATGTATTCTAAGATAACCCAATGTTCAGGAATAATTCAGATTCCTAATGATTTATCTCTAGTCAAGGCATTTCTCAAGGCCACTGCCACAAGTACTAAGAACAATATCCTTTCTCTTCCTAGTATCTTCTGTTTCACCCACCTTGCATTTTTAGGAAAGCTCAAGGCTTCATTCAGATGCCTATCATGGCTCTTGACAGTCCTTTGAATGCAGACAACACATATCAGAAAAGCGCAAATATACTGACAGTTTTAGGCCCAGGAGAATGGCGAAGTTCGTGATTGATGTTTATGTTTAATGCCTGTGTAATGTATTTCTATATGTATGAATAAAGTTAGTAGTTGAGACAGTCAAAGGTTGTAACTGAGGCCAAAACAAAATGTGGTTATCAATAGCTTTTTAAAAACACTCAATCCAAATTTACGCCAATTTATACAAAACAGATTACATTACTAATCTTCTCTTCATCAATACAGTTATTACACAAAGTGCCATTAATAATATTTCAATTATTAGATGATGTATAGCCAGGATAACCAATACAGATTTAAAAATATCTATATTGGTCACTGAGGATACAGTTCTGTATCTGTTAAGAAAATGTTACAAAATGAAAACTGAAGCTATTAATACAAGTTCTGAAGTCTTTTCACAATTAACTTCCATCTGGTTTAAAAATGAAAAGCTGAGTCATCTGGTACCTTAATATTCTTGGCCCAGATCTATAGGACATAACCTAAGCAGTACAATCCCCCACCACCACTCCTTTCAAAAATTATCTGCTAAAATAAATTGATTACCTACACTTAATAAATGGCTTTTTTGCTTGAAGGAGTGGATTTTTAAAGACACACACTACATGTTCTCTATATATTAAACACTAAACCTACTGTCATAAGCACCACATCAAACCTGAAACATTTCTAAATTCAGACAGAACTCATGGGCAGCTGTTTTACACAGCTACACCAAGTCACTCCAACAGTGGAGGATGCAAAAACAATGACTTCTGACTCGCTGTATCTATACCTACCCTTCCTTTCTCTCTCTCTCTTTCTCTCTCTCACACACACACTCTCTCTCTCTGTCTCTCTCTCTCTCACTCACACACACACACACACACACACACACACCCACACACACCCACAGAGTTACTAGAGGTATGGACCAGTAGATAAAATGAACAATGAGCAAGAGTCCAAAAAAACAGACTGGCACTTATAACTACCCTCTAGTAGACATGTGCCAGCAATCACTGGCTCCTGAAGTAATTTAAAGTAATACCTTTGATTTTTGTTTCTTCACCAGTTTCTTCTTCTTCTACTTCTTCAACATCATCCAAATCTTGATCAAGTTCAGACTGTTCTTTGCTATAACATCACAGTATCACACCAAGGTTCAAATGTACCAATTACCAACAAAAAATTATAGAAAAAATTCATTTTCAAAATTAGCATCTCTTTCAAAGACATAAAATAGGAAATTCAAAAGGTAATTCAGTTTTCTAACTTCATATGTAAACAAATACAAACTGGAAGTTCTTAAACTTTCATTAAAGACATCTGGCCACATGTAAAGTTTATACTTTTCAAGATATAAAAAACTGGTTTTGTAGGTTTTTGAGGGATGTGATGTCAACAAGCATGTGCACTCAACCAAATATCCATTGATTTTACTTTTCCTTCTTAGTAATAACCTCCTTATTTTATATGAGATGGCAACAAACCAAGCTAAAAGTCTACATTTCCTAGCCTACCTTCAGCTAGACTATTTTGGCAGCAAGATAAAAAAGCAGAAGTACTGTATTTCTTTGAGGGAGTATCCTTAACAAGATGGTAGATAGCTGGGGAGCCTTTATCTTAATCCCTCTCCCCTCGCACTTAGAATACGAGTATGATGGATAGAGCTCTAGCAGCCACACTGGACTGTGAGGCATCCTAGAAAATGAAAGCCACCAGCTAAAGAAAAAGGAATTAGGAAAAACAGAAGAATCCTGGACCCCTTATGGCTGTGCAGCAACTGTTATCAGCCTATACTGTCTTTGGACTTTCCTTTTCTTTACTTCATAGTGGATGTGAGAAAGAATAAGGACTTTGGAGTCTAATTCTTGTTTAGAACAAAGCCAAGATGATAGCACCATGAAAGAGATGGTAAAAAGTAGTAAGATAACATCCTTCCCATTTCATCTTAAAAAATCACCAAAAATCTAATTTGTGAACATGGGATTGCATCTAGCATTAGAAAGGAAATTAAGGACTCCTAAATCAATATAAAAGGTCGTCGAACAATTCCTGTATGAATATTTTAACACTTGGATTAGAAATTTAGTTGCTTTTGTGCCTAAATAGCATTTGAAAAATTAATTTTCCACAAAGACAAATAATGACTTAATTTTCATACAAATACAGAAAAGCTCAATTGTACTCTGCTGGCACAATTTAAGTTCCTGTCAACAAAGGAAAAAAATTCAGTCTTCAGAAATGATACATATTATTTCTGAAAGTCACCCAGGCTGGAGTGCAGTGGCACAATCTCGGCCCACTGCAACCTGGGCCTCCCAAGCTCAAGCAATTCTTGTGCCACAGTCTCCTAAATAGCTGAGACTACAGAAGTGTGCCACTGCACCTGGCTAATTTTTATATTTTTAGTAGAGATAGGGTTTCACCATGTTGGCCAGGTTGGTCTCGAATTCCTGTCCTCAGGTGATCCTCCCACCTCAGCCTTCCAAAGTTCTAGGATTATTACAGGTGTGGGCCACTGCGCCTAGCCTATTTCTGGAAGAACTGATTTCGTATAAACTTAAAGTGTACACACGCAAGGGCCACTGGTTACACATAATTGGAGCAACTCCTCCTCCAGTGTCTTTCATCCTTTATTGAACATCTATATCCAAACGCTTTAAAACAGTTGTCCACAAACTATGTCCACGTGGCCAAATCCAGCCCACCCTATTATCGTAAATAAAATTTTACTGGAACACAGACACACTACATTTATGTATTGTCTGCTTTCACATTACATCAGCAGAGTTGAGTACAGTCATCCCTCCAAGTTTATGGTGGACCCACAGGAAACCACCTACCAAAATCCTGGGATGTTCAAGTCCTTTATATAAAATGACATAGTAATTGCAACTAACCTATGCCTATCCTCCTGTATACTTTAAATCACCTCTAGATTACTTACAATAATACTATATACGATGTAAATATAAATGGTTACATTAGGCTGGACCAGACAAACTGGCTCATGCCTGCAATCCCAACATTCTGGGAGCCAGGGCAAGAGGATCACTTGAGGCCAGGATTTCAAGACCAGCCTGAGTAACACAGAATTCTCTATTAAAAACAAAACAAAGAAACAAAAAACAGTAATCGTTGTTATATTCTATTGTTTATTTGTATTTATTATTGTGCTGTTATATTTTATTTTATTCTTTCCCTAATATTTTCCAGCTGCAGTTGGTAGAATTCAGATGCAAACTCATGGATGCTGAACTCACAGATACAGAGGGCCAACTGCAGTTAGAGAATCCTAGGTAACCTAGAATGCCTAAAATGTTTACTACCAAGCCTTTTACAGAGAAAGGTTTAATGACTGGTTTTCAAGAACAAGAATCCCCTCTGACTTCTATACTCCCAGGGCTAACAGACATCCAAAATTAAACAATAAGGGAAGAAGGAAATCAAGCTGTCATACTAATTTATTGTTTTTAAAGTTTAAAATGAGAGTTTCAAGGTTAAGATGGCCAATGGTACAAACTCAGCTGATCTTAATCCTTCTAAAATCTCCACTAAAATTATAATAAAGGGTTTGTTTGTTTTTTTAGCAGACTAAGGCTGAAACTGAAACAAGAGCAGCAACATTCTGGAAGCTGGAAACCAGACAAGTGATAATTTCATTGAGAGAACTGAAATCTAAGTTGGCAGTGGGGAAAGCTGAGAACCAGCCCAATTACAGTCTTTAAAAGGATAAGACCTGGTGGTACCAGGTTCATTTCTAGAACTAGGGTAAATGGTGGGACAGGAGAAAAAGTGGCTAAAACAAGAAAGTAAAAATTGATAAGCAGCTAAATCATTAGATCTTCTCCCCTACCACAGCAGAAATACTCAGTTCCTTCTTGGGAAAGGATAAAATTCAGAACTTGAACTGGAAGACAACAGACACAGTTAATAGTATCAAAGATATAGGACTGACTATGTACACATTAGAATGCTAAATGCAGGGACTCCTCTACATTTAGAGGAACACTGGAAGCCAGGTCTTTCTTTACCCAGACACTGTTCAACAATGAATCTGACTAACCCAGAAAAATAAATAAACATTCTACAACTGGGGGTTCTAACAAATGCCTACTCTGGTGACCCGACACTGAAATCCCAAATTAACAAGCCTCCTCCCCCTCCAACACTCAAATTTTCTAATCAATTTTCCTTTCTTTAAACATCTCTGAATTATCCTTATATCCCACCCAACCCAATCTTAATGAGCAACCAAGCAAGTACTGCCGTGTATTTTGAGGAAAGCCTCTTAGATTGAGACTAAAACAAACAAGGGAAAGAAAATATAAGAGCAAACAGACTATACAGGTAAAAGAAACATCCAGAGAAAAGATATTACCATTGATGAAACAAGAACAGGAAGCTATAAAACTAAAAACAAAAAACAGGAAGAACAAAAGAAATCTTGGAAACTAAAACAACAGAAATTTTAAAACCCAATACACGAGTTGAAAGATAGTCTTCAGTTCTTCCCAGAGAGAAGAGCAAAGAGACGAAGATGAAAAATAGGACAAAAGATCATTAGAAGACCAATCCAACACACAACATCTAACAGTAGCTCCAGAAAGAGAAAACAGAAATGAGGCAATTGCAAAGTTAAATCAAGAATATCCCTGGAACTAAAAGCCACTGAATAGCTGCACTGAAAGGGTCCACTGCCCAATGTGTAACATTAAGACAAAAAAATAACGTGAAAATTTCAGAACTCTGAAGCCAGATTAGCTTCCAGAAATGTACGTACTGTAAATGTATGTATTTCTCAACTATCACATAAAATGGTTATGGTTAAGAATTGTGATAACTCCAAACTTCAACACAGTAACACTGGAAACAAGGTGACAATGGAGCAGTGCCTTCAAAATTCTGAAGAAAAATGATTCCCATCTTACTATACTACACCCAAATAAACTATTCAGCATAGAAGCATAACTATCCAGCATAAAAGGTAGGTAAGTCATTTTGAGTCATGACATGTCTTAAAATAATTTAACTCCCTTGTACTCTTCCAAGAAGGTACTAACAAAATGAGAAGGCAATGTGAGATATAGCAAACAACAAACCCAAGAGGAGAAACAAGATGAAACCTCGGAAGGTAGTAAAATAGATCCAATGACAGCCATGTCACCAAGGTTAAGCAATCCAAATCATAAGTGTGACATAGGAGACAATCACTTTACCATTATCACTAAAAATGCCTGCTTCCACTCTTCTGGTTTTTTTTAATGCTGAAGATAGAATGCATAAGAGTGGCCTAAATTCTTATACGTACTTCTTTGTGCTGACCTTGTACTAAAGTTTCCAGCCCTCCCGGTATCATTCGCTGACGCCTACAGCAGGACGCCTACAACAGCTATGCATAATCATTTAGCATCCCCTCACTTGCAAGTGCTCTATTTTAACACAGGCTACTGTGAAATTACACAAATACCGTGCACCTCATCCCATTCTTCCTGACCCTAGTTCTATAAAACACCCATTCACAGTAGAATCCTGCCACGTGCCAACTTGCTTAAACCTATGCTTCCCAGGATGCATGACCTTGCCCAATACTTCTCCAGAATAAGTCTTTCTAAAGCCTCAGGAAAGCTGAGGCCAGACTATGACCCAGATAGTCTTTTTTCCTTGTTATCCTGTCTTGCAGCCTTCAACTAACGGTGGTAATGTTGCTTTACTCAGCTAATTTTGTGATCACTATTCAGATTTTCAAAATTAAACACTGATTGAGAATTTATAGGTGGTAAAGCTCTAAAGGAAAGCAAAGAAAAGAATTAGCAAAAGTCAGGAAAGCGTTTATATGTCTGCAAGGGAAAGGTGCTACTGAGAAGGGGCACACAAGGCTTCTAATAGTAATGTTCCATTTTTAACTTGTCTTAGTATTCCTTAAGCTCTACATATAAATACATTTTATTCACACTTTGGGCATTCGGTACATTACAATGCAAGCAGTAAAATCTTTGGGAAATATGTACAATAAAAATGAATTTTACAAGTATTTATAATCCATTATCATGCTTAGCACTTTCTTAAAAATAAATAGTGGCAAATTGTTTCATATATTTATGACAATATAGAATACATTCTATATTTTATCTTGAATACACTGCACTCAACTCTTTGCAAAAGTAGGTACTAAGCATTAGTAACTACATTTTCATAATATATAATTCATGCTACTTGCTGTTAGAACATCACAATACAAAGTGATGCCAAAAATCTCTGAAAAAGAACCAACTCTCTGCCACTTACTTGTCAATGTCTGCCATGTTGTAAGAACTCCAAATATCTATGGAGAGAAACATCAATGTTAAAAAAAAAAGTATATGATTTACTTAAAACCAATAAAAACATATGAAGCCAAAACCCTTTAAATCAATACTATGCTGAAAACTACACCAAGAAATGTCTGTTTCCTTTAAAATACGATCAGTGTTAAGAAGAAAACTCATGGAACATGCAAATTCTTCCTTACCAGTACCAAAAATAATTTTTCATAGGATATTATCTAAAATAAAAAAAGTTACCATTAAGCTTTTAGAATCTGTTGTGTAAAGATTGTAATAGCACCATTGGTTAAAAAAAAAATCCAACATTTGCTAGAATCATAGGAAAGGAAAACAGTACAAAAGGGTCTTCATTCAAATCTTTTTAACAATCAAAAAGTTCAATTTCTGCTTAAATTTTTTGGCTACGTAGCATCTTAAAACAGAATCCATTTTATATTTAGCAATATTCATTTTTATAATCTGATGCCTACTGTAATCACTATGCCCCTTGATTATCTTTTTTAAAAAGACTTCATCCCTGGGTGAAATATCAACCATTTAGACTATTTCAAAAGCTCTGGGTCCCAATTTTAATGTCAGGTAAGCCTTCCTTATCTCTTCAAATGGATATGTACCTCATGTTAGATAACTGATAACCAGCAACCTCCAACTTCCCCTAGATATGCTGCGGACATTGTCTAGATTTGTGGTTACCAGACCTGAATAAGTTTACTGTTAGGACTGAACAGAGCATATCCTAAGTTCCTTCTCACTAAGAGATTAGTATGAAGCTGGAGAATACTGCTTTTAGAAAAACAAATCTTATTAAGCAGATGAGTTATATTCAGGCAGAAAAAAAAGGCAGAATGCCACAGGTAATCTACAGATTACATAAAAACTAAAGCAAGTTTAGATAGAGTCCACATTAAAATCAAGTTTATCTTAGCCAGGCACAGTGGTAGGAGCCTGTAGTCCCAGCTGCACAAGAGGCAGGAAGATTACTTGAGCACAGGAGTTCAAGGCCTGCCTGGAAATATAAGACCCTATCTCTAAAAAAATAAATAAATACATACATAAATAAATAAATAGAATCAAGTTACCTGGTAAAAATTAAAATCATAGTACATATTTAACCCACAAAATCCTACAAGATGTGTTTGCTTTCATAGCAACATATCTAATATACCTATGAACAAAGAGTTTTTAAAAATGGAAAAGATCCTGATTTTAGCAGTTAAGTGCTAATATTTTGGGAAAACATTATTACTGATCTAGTCTATCCTTTAGAGTAATTATAAAGAAAATATTTCTTCCTAATGTGTCTAACTCTATAAATATTTTCTATTTGTTATAAATAATTCCTAATAGTACTGATGAATTTTTCTAGTGACGCTGGGTAATGAGTCAGCATTTACAAAGTATTTAACAATTATAAATACTAATCAAAAAGAAAAATATTGAATCTGACATCAAAGAAATGCAAGTAGGATACCAGTTTGTCTATTACATCATCAATAATTTCCTTTTAATACAGGGAAACGTGTGCATATGCATCCTTATTTCTAGCTACTGCTGCTGTAACTTTCTGGAGAGCAATCTGACAACAGGAATATCAAAAGCCTTAAACATGTCCATCTCAGCCAGGCACCATGGCTCACGCCTGCAAACCCAGCACTTTGAGAGGCCGAGGCAGAAGGATCACTTGAGACCAGACGTTCAAGACAAGCCTTGGCAACACAGTGAGACTCTCTTAAAAAAATTTTAAAAAAAAATTAAAAAAATAAAATATGTCCACTTCCAGACTTATTCACTTATGAGATCTACCATAAAAAAATTATAAAGAATCTTATGCCTTTGCTTTCTATGTTCACCTAGAAGGTTCTTCCACAGATCTGAACAAGTCCCGCACATCCTTTGGCTCTCAGTTCAAAGTTTCATTCCTCAGAAATGCTTTCTCCAACCTATATATTCTGGTTAAGTAAGATTTATTGGTACACACACTCCTATAAAGGTTTCTTTCTCTCCAAAATAAGATGTCAGTCTATAATTATAGATTAGTGTGATTTATATAAATTTATATAATTTATATAAATTATAAATTAGTCTGTTCCAACTGATAAGATTCATGATTACAGTAATTAAATCTGATCTTGCCAATTATAGCATTGTATTCTTTGGGGTAATACACAAAGCTTATTATAAACTTAGTACTATCATGGAATATGCGTAAAATGGAATGCTTTGCAGTCACAAATAAAACAGACCTGAGTTGCTATGAAAGAACACCAAAGCAAGGCATAGGATGTAGGCCAAAATCCCATTTGGATCACTCATATTTGTACATACTTTAACGTAAATAAAATCCTTCTGAAAACACACACCAAAAACCTAACAGGGGTAACCTAATGAGATAGAAGGGACTGGGGATAATGAGAACATATATTCCATTCACCATTACAGTCATGTGTGGATTAAACATAGGAGTATGTTCTGAGAAACGTGTCTTTAGATATTTTGTTATTGTTCAAACATCAGAGTGTACTTATACAAACCTAGATGGTATAGCCTACTAGGCACCTAGACTATGATATGGATTATTGCTCCCAGGCTACAACCTATATAGCATGTGGCTGTACTGAATACTGTAGGCAACTTCAATATGATGGCTAAGTAGTTATGCATATGAACACAGAAAAGGTACAATAAAAACAAGGTATCATGCTTTCCCCTGTTTAATTTTAAAAAAAAGGAATTATAATCTTATGGAATCATTGTCACATACGCACATGGTCCATCTTTGACTGAAATGTCATTATGTGCATGACTGCATCTGGTTTTCCAATACACAGACTTATACAATAATTTCCAATACAAATTTATTCTGAAATTTGCTGGGTTTAATATATAGTGTCTAGTAAACCCAGCAATTGTCAAAAATAGAAGCAAAAAAACCCCAAAACTTTCAAATTTATATTTTATAACTTTTTACTTTTTTGAGACAGTCTTGCTCTGTTGCCTAGGCTGCAGTACAGTGGTGTGACCTCGGCTCACTGCAACCTCCACCTCCCGGGTTCAAGTGACTCTCCTGCCTCAGCTTCCCCAGCAGCTGGGACTACAGGCGCATGCAATCACGCCCAACTAATTTTTTGTATTTTTAGTAGAGACGGGGTTTCACTATGTTAGTCGGGATGGTCCCAAACTCCTGATCTCAAGTGATTCGCCCGCCTCAGCCTCCCTCCCCAAGTGCTAGCGACCACACCTGGCCCTTTTATAACATTTTAATATGTTTGCAGAAGAATGGCTACATTGCTAACCTCAATGTCCATTTGCAGCATTATATTTATAGTTTAAACTCTTAAAATGAAACTTCATCTTTAGTAGAGGATCCAAGACAGATAATTCAGAGAACATTAACAGGAGGCATTTACTCCTCCAGAGAAGGCTACTCAAACCTGCCTATTCTGGATAAATTATATCTCTTGGTTGTAAGGCAGATTTAATTTTCTAGTCAGTTGTGATCATTTGGGCTGACATCAACTTTGTAGCAATCTACAAATTCAGGCAAACAACTTCTGGCTCTATTTCATCATCTATATGAAGCAGAAAAACACCTGAGGAAGTGGGACCCCAAAATCTGCATTCTAAACCAGAAACTCAGTTTCTGAGGTGGTTCTCAGAGAGTTAGATCACATTGAGAACATAAGTTTAAGTTAATATCCATATTAATTTTTTATTGCAGTTGACATTAAATGAAATCAGTAAGAATCTTATTTGTTAGACAATAAATTGCATTCCAAGTTCTCTGTGAAAAACTTTCATTCCTGAGAGCAACAAACTAGATTACACAGGTCAATCCTACCAATGAAAAATATGGGCAAGCACAGTGCTCACACCTGTAATCCTAGCACTGTCGAGGCCAAGGCGGGCGAATTGCGTGAGCTTAGGCGTTCGAGACCAGCTTGGGCAACATGGTAAAACCCAGTCTCCACTAAAATACAAAAAAATTAGCTGTGCGTGGTGGCGTACACCTGTAGTCCCAGCTACTTGGGAGGCTGAGGCAGAATTGCTTGAACCTGGGAAGCAGAGGTTGCAGTGAATCGAGATCATGCCACTGCACTCCAGCCTGGGTGACAGTAAGACCCTATCTCACATAAATAAATAAATACATAAAATAAAATAAAATAAAATAAAATAAAATCTTAAAAGCACTGAAATGCTAACAAGATAGTAAGGAATTACCAGTCCAAAACTGAGGGTAAAACAGGAAGCAGAAGGCACTTTTGCACTGAGGTCAATTGCCAATTACAAGCAATGTGAACTTTGGTTTTAACCAAAGTTAAAATCCTGGGCCTGTCCAAGGTGGGTATCTTTACGGTAACCCTCCCAAATTAAGCAGGAACTCCAAGGTGCTATATTCCTCAAGGATAAATTCATTCTCTTGGACAAAAAGCCCAAATTTTCCTCCTCTGTATTGCCCTCCAAACTCCAAGCTATGTACTTAAAGTGATCTGTCCCTGGTATAGTCAGATATCTGCATATCCAAATATAAATGAAAGCTTCCTTCTAGACCTCAAAAAATTCAGACAAGTAATGTTCACAGCCGACAGGAGAAACAGAAAAGAATACAACAGAAACCAACCTACACAAAGACAAACATTGTCCAACAGGCTATAAACAAATATATACCTACAGACAAAGTAAGCTGAGTTGTCTTTGATCTCAGCTTGAAAATACACTATCTGCAAGGAAGTCATCAACCTCATAAAGACTTTATACAAGTTCTAGGAGCAGGAGAATAGGACAGAATATTTGAAGAAATTAACATCCAAGATTTTTCCATAAGTGATGAAAGACACCAATCCACAGATTCAGGTAGCCCTACAAATTAAAACCATAAAATAAAGAATCCATATATATGTATTTATCCAGCTCAGGATTTTTCATATGTATAAAAATTATAGGTATCATATATATAAATTATATATATTAAAAATCAGTATAATTTTTATATCAGTAAAAA